TTACTGATATCTCGCCGGGGTTCGTTTCCCAGGCCAAGGAAAAATTTGCCGAGTTCAGGGGCATGGAATATACAACACTCGACATTTCCCAAGACCCAGAATTGCAAGGGTTCACGCCTGGATCGTATGACTTGATCATTGCGGCTAACGTGCTCCATGCTACGCCGCGGATTTCTGACACACTCCGCAATGTGCGCAGACTTCTCGCACCGACCGGCCGATTGCTTCTACAGGAACTGTGTTGTGAGAACCCCGTCATCGGCTACATCATGGGTAGCCTGCCAGGCTGGTGGGTCGCAGAAGACGGCAGGGATGTGCCCTACGTGAGTCCCGAGAAATGGCACGACGAACTAGTACAAGCAGGGTTCACAGGTGCTGATGTGGTTCGCTTGGACTATGACGCCCCGTACCAGTTCAATGCCCACATTGTGTCGCGGCCTTGTCCTCGTCTGCCTATCAAGAATGAGATAGGTCTTCTGCATCAAGGTGAAGTCTCCGATTGGGCTCAGGGGCTTGAACGACTTCTGTCCTCGAGGGGATATGTGGTTCAGTGGGTCACTTTGGATGAATCCCCGACAGTGGCGGATTTTATATCCCTGCTGGACTTGGAGAAACCCTTCTTCAACAATCTTTCCCCTTCCAAATTCCAGAAATTCCAGCGGTTTGCCTCGCATCTCACCAAAGGCCGCTCACTCTGGCTTATGAGATCCATTCAATTAGTCGAGTCGGATCCTGAGCCGGCTCGTGCATTGACTTTGGGCGTCATGCGCACCATTCGACAAGAGCTGGCACGAGGTATATCCACAGTCGAGATAGAGCAGCTCGATGACGCAGCGATGCGTCGTGTTATTGAGATATTCGAGAATGTGAAAACATACGACGAGACTCAGGACCCTGACCTCGATTATGAGTATGTTCTGAAAGATGACGATGTCTATGTTGGTCGTTTCCAGTGGTCCTCCTTGGATAAGGTGATGACATCTGCCCCCAAAACTGGATCTCGGGTTCTAGACATTGGGTCCCACGGAATGCTAGACACCTTAAACTGGTCCTTGAGCGGGCGAGGCCCTTGTGTGGCGGAGGACGACGTGGAGGTGGACATCAAATGCGTAGGATTGAATTTTAGGGTACGTGGGCCTCCTCTGTCATTCTACCTGCTGGAGAGTGTGACTTACAGGAATGTCTCTAGGATATTATGGTATCCATGGGCCTGATGGGAGATACAAGCGAAATGGGTTTGGAAGGTAGCGGAATTGTTCGGAGAGTCGGTCGTTCAGTGACCAGTCTTCAAGCCGGGGATCGAGTCCTGTTTGCTGGTAAAGGCATGATGGCTACACGAAAGATAATGCCCGCGCGTAGCTGCATCAAAATCCCAAGTGGCCTTTCCTTGGAGGATGCCGCAGCAGGACCGTGTGTGTTCACGACGGTCATCTACTCGCTGATGTATGTTGGACAGCTCCGGAAAGGACAATCGGTGCTCATTCATAGCGCCTGCGGAGGCGTCGGACTGGCTGCTATTCAGGTCTGCCAGATGATCGGGGCTGAGATCTTCGTGACAGTCGGAAGCATTGCGAAAAAGCAACACCTGATTGACAACCTCCAGATCCCGGAGCACCATATTTTCGACTCTCGGAGCCCCTCGTTCTTGCCAGATGTGATGAGGATGACGAACAACAGGGGAGTTGATATCGTCTTGAATTCCCTGTCGGGGGAGCTATTGCATGCATCCTGGAAATGCGTCGCACCGTTTGGAAAGATGCTTGAACTTGGTAAACGCGATTTTCTGGGCCATGGCAAGTTGGACATGGACCTTTTTGTGGACAATCGCACCTTCATTGGCGTGGATCTGACTCAACTCGCCGAGAAGTCACCCGAGCTGTTCCGTCATATGATAGACGATTGTCTTCATTTCTTCGAGGAAGGAAAGCTCAAGCCAATCCGTCCAGTGACTATCTATGAAGCAACTGATATTGTGAAAGCCTTGAGGCTGATGCAAAGCGGAAGACATATGGGGAAAATAGTAATTCGCATGCCGGAGGATCCTTCCACCTTATCAGTCTCTCGAATACATGATAAAGGTAACTTGTTTCGCGACGACTCGTCCTACCTGCTTATCGGTGGGTTTGGAGGCCTTGGACGAGCGGTTGCAACATGGATGGCTGAGAAGGGAGCGCGGCATTTGATTATCCTGTCCCGATCTGGCGAGGAGTTGCCCCGGAATCGAGCATTTATTGAAGATTTAAAAAGCCAAAGTGGTTGCCATGTCGTCAGTGTGACTGGAAGTGTCGCGAACTTGACCGACACGCAAAGAGCGGTATCAGCCGCGACAAAACCAATTGCTGGGGTCATACAGATGTCAATGGTGTTAAGGGTGCGCATCCCCTGCTCTTGTAATCAGGCTGATAACGCTGACGTGTATTTCTTGTCTCCAGGATGCTAGGTTTGAAAATCTGACCTTCGAGCAGTGGAACGAGGTCCTCGCGCCAAAGGTCCAGGGTACCTGGAACCTCCATCACACACTTGATGGTCATGACCTGGACTTCTTCGTCCTATTCGGTTCCGTTGCTGGCATTATGGGCTTTAGTGGGCAAACGAACTATGCAGCAAGCAATACCTTTCTTGATGCGTTCGTGAAATATCGTCACTCGCAAGGCCTAGTTGCCAGCGTCCTTGACATAGGCTTCATGGGAGACATAGGGTATATCCCTGAGAACTCCCCCAAGACTCTCGAGTATGCTCGGGCAGCATCGTCACTAATTGTAACCGAGCAGGATTTGCTTCATGCCCTAGAGCTTTCCATACTTTCCGGACCGCTCAAGGGCCCAACTCAACTTTCCCTCGGACTGGGCACTTCTAAGCCGCCCTCAGAATGCGCTGCGCAGCCAATATGGGGTCAAGATGCTCGGTTCCTAGGGTGGCAGAACGTCTTCACAGCCTCGGAGGGCGACAAAACCGCCAAACGGGAAGAGCTCAGGCGATTTCTCGAAGACGTTAAGCGTGACCCATCGATCCTATACAAGCCGGTCACAGAGGAAAAGCTCACCTATGAGCTTGGGAAGATGATCGCGTCTCACATGTCGTACTCTGAATATTTGGAGCTGCACGAGCTCGCGAATATTGCAGTCGACTCTCTGATGACTATTGAAATCAGGGCTTGGTTGAGACGGTACGCCAGACTCGAGATATCGTTGGTGGAAATTTCCAAGGCGGGCACGGTTGCTGGGCTGAGCAAAATTACACTTAAAATGCTCCGTGAAAAATACCAGTCAGGCGAGCAGGAGATTGCGAATGCCAAAGACGGGGCATGGGGTTCCGGAGAGCCAGATGAATTAAGACTCTGCCTGCAGGATATGCAGCTGGGCAAGGACATCGAGCCACTGTCAACTCCAGTCGCGGATTGGTATGCTGACGGTGAAGGGCGTGTGTTCATGACTGGGGCCACAGGATATTTGGGAGCATTCTTCTTAACTCTCTTGTCTGGTTTACCGCAGGTCAGGGAAGTCGCTTGTCTTGTTAGGGCTGAGGACGTGGTGTCTGGAATATCTCGGATCCAAAAAGTTCTGGCTGGATATGGGCTTCCGTTCGACTTTAAAGAGAAGCTTCGCCTTATTCCAGGAGACATCAGTAGCCCCACGCTGGGGCTCAGGACAGAGGAATTTGACGAACTCGCTCAGTGGTCCAGTGTCATCTTTCATTTTGCGTCCTACTCCAACTATACGCTCCCTTATTCCTCTCACCGAGAAGCAAATGTCCTCGGTCTGGTTAACGTGCTCCGCTTTGCGAACACTGGACGCCCTAAGCCGCTTCATTATGTCTCCAGTATATCCGCCTGCGGAGTGGCGGGATACCTGGCAGGGCAGGTCATTCCGGAGGACCAGAGGCCCGTGTTTGATCTTGACATAGTCAAAGGGCACATTGGCTATACCCAGAGCAAGGTCGTGGCGGAGCATATAGCGTGGAATGCCATCTCGAATGGTCTCCCGCTGACCATATACAGGCCTGGATTCGTCATGGGCCACAGCATCACTGGGGCCCATAAACAGCAGGATTTCATTAACCGTCTGATGGCCAACTGTCTTCGCATTCGCAGCTATCCTGTTGCTCCACATGCCCGAAACCAATTCATTCCAGTTGACTTTGTCTGCTCCTCCATACTGCGGATTTCTCTGTCTAGTGGAAACCTCTGCCACGCCTTCAATCTTGTTCGGCCTGACCAGACCCAAACCGTTACGTGGGAAGAGACATTCGAGATCCTCAACCAGAATTGTACCGTGCCGCTGCGGCGCGTGCCTCCCGAGCAGTGGATCGACATCTTTGCCGAACATGGCAACGAGAGGGAGAAGGCGGGGGTTTCCTTACTGAAAGAGGGACTGGATAGAAACTCGGTCTGGTGGGCCGTTGATAAGGGCACCATGGCTCTTTATGAGACAGGCAACATGCGCCGAGCGCTTTCGCAGTTCCCAGATATTCTCGAAGTGCCTTCTATGGATGACCTGATCAAAACATACTTGCCTCTATGGAGGAATCAAGAGTAGGGAGTGGTGGTGATACAACGTGTATACATTCCACGACGCAGTGTATGCAGGCTGGGCAATATCTGCGATGTCTACAAATAGGCATATCCGCAATAGTATAGATATTCAATGGGTCCATAATATAGACATAGCCAAATCTATAACGCATATTCACTGTGTGTCTGTCTGTTGTTTAAGTTTAGATTATGGTTGTGAAGGCAGTATTTATCACAGGTTGCCTGGATGTATGCTGATATTCATCCCTTGAAGGTTCGAGTGTTGTCTATTCAGTGTTTTGAGCGAAGGAGTATGAGTACAGGCTTGTAGGTCTATTTCGAGGTGGTATATGCGCATCATCACTAACACATCGGACGCGATTCCATGCATATTGATGCCTCGGAAATGTAAGCAACCACTCACTATCCATATTGATCGCGACGACTAAATACCGTACCCAATCCCTTCATACTGGTCGAAGATGCGCAATCAATTCTTGTCACAGGTAGACGCATAGTTATCCAACTCCCGAGGAATGACATTTTCCCAAAGCTCCGGCCCCTTGAGATACGCATTCATCTTGTCGCACATATCCTTTGTGATAAACGCCGAGAGCTGTTCCATCTCACCCAGGACTACAGGCATCATATTCTCTTTCAAGCAAGTCCCGACAGCCTGCATTGCCTTCTGATCCTGGCATAGATTGGTCTCCCCTCCGTCCACAGCACACTTATTTTCAATCGTCTTGGTTATATCTCCGGAGATACTGTCCGCAATAGTGGGAAAGCCAGACAGACCCATTTCATTCATGCTGGTCGTGACGATCTGGCTGACTATTTTGCTGTTGATCCATTTTTCAAACTGCGGCATTGTTACAGTACAGCCTTTCTTGCAGACGCGTTCGTCAAACGCCTGCAAGGTGGTGTCGAGTTTGCTGGGGATGAAATCTGAGATGGAGGTGCAGTTTGATGGAAGGGCGCAGAGGACGGGTGTAGCCAGAGTAAGAAGACTGTATAATGACAGAGTAGCGGTAAGATGCATCTTGAATGGTTTTGCCCGTAGATTGGAAGTTGCACCCGTAGAGCAAAGAAGAGACCTTCCTTGAGCCGTCAACTTTTGCTATTGTTGACGATATGTATATTGTGTATATTGTCAACCCTACCATCATCAAGCACTACGTCACACGTATTGCCTGTGTCAAGAAGCCCCTTTATTCCCCGGAGAATGCCAAACTCTCCCCTTGCATGATATCAACGGCGCGTGAATGCTTGAATGTGGCAGGCACGGTTTCTACTGGACACAACAAGGGATTTTCAGGACGTAGCCTCATAAACAAGTATCAGAGTTACACTGCATACAAGGGAATTTAGCCTCAACTGCAGCATATTCGATGGCTAACAGTGCTCCCCTGTTTCTCCCGCTGTCTTTCATACTTCAAACCACCAAACGGAGAATTTGCTGCTATGGCGGCGCCTCACATTCCAGGTATGCTCTACGGTATTTGTCCCTCCCTGTCTTGGGCCAGCGTGATATGTAGGAATGGACCGTTGCCGTGCTGCCCCAGCTATAAAGCCACGACATGAAACAAACTTTTAAGACATCCTCAACCATACTACACTCTTGATTTGATCTCAACCCAATCTCATTCTTTCCTAAGACACAATGCTCTTCTCCCGCGTGACCCCAGTCGCCTTATTCGTCGCCCTCGCGACATCCGCCCTGGGTGCGGTTAACACCAAGCAGGCTATCGAAGGCATGAACGCCCTGCAGAAAAACGTCGCCGAGGCCCGCAAGACCATCGAGGGATGGAACGGCGGCCTTCTAGGCGTCATCCCCGTCGCCAGCAAAATTCAAGGCGTGAAGAGTTCCGCTGCCGACACTCGCAGGACCATCGAGCAGTCTGATGCCTTTGGCGATGAGGACCAGGATGAGGTTCTCGCAGCTTATTCCCAATTGCAGCCAGAGATTATGGGAGCGCTTAATGCAGCAGAGCAGAAGGTAAAGCCATCCCCTCCCTATTTAATGGCCAGCAGTGCTGACCTGGATCCAGGCGCCGGCCTTCAAAGATGCGGGAGTGGCCTTCGTGGCGAGGGCTATGATGGAGGATCTCAAGGGTGAGAAGGAGAAATTCGAGACCGCCATTCAGGGGAAGGTGCCTGCTGAGAGGTATCGCGACGCTGAGCCCAAGGTTGCTGAGGTCAATGCTGCCTTTGATAGTACCCACAAGGCGCTTGCTGCGTAGGTGGCTGGTCTGGGCACTGTGCCTGTGGAGCACAGTGAAGCTTGCTAGGGATACTTACTGCGTTATCGTTCTGGGCTTATCTTGCGATCTAATTTGAGAATTACTTAATCCATCAGACTTATATGTAGACTTCATCTCTACGCCCTGCTGGCATAATGAGTAGCCTGAGGAAACGGAATTAAAAAGTACTCGGGACCAAGTTCCGGTGGGCTGTCCTCGAGGCGACAGGTAAGACATGCCACGCCGTACTACTGCGGAGAATATAGAAAGTTAAATGCATGCTACCTGAGCTATATTTAATAATACATACTTGGCGTGCAGGGCTTTGCATTTCCCAGGGTTGCCATGTCTTTCGACATTTGATAGCTTGAATTCATCCCTTTGCATAGAATGGTTTTCTTATGCCCATAACTGTGAGACTTTCAAGAGCCGGATATGCACGTAGTATATCGTCTTCTTAACGACGAGGGCCCTGTCGAGGACAGAAGAAGAAGCAATCAACAGAATTAGAGAGGAAATACCACATGAAGGTAATTTTCAGGGCTTAAGTTTCTCAGTATATCTTGACTTAAACCAGAAGCAACCAACGTTTAGTTATTTCAATATAGATTCGGAGTATACCATAGTATGTGGTAGCAAGCCAGCACATCTTTAGACAATATCAAGCCAGATGTGGTATGCTCAAAAGGCCTCTTCCTTGCTCTACTCTATGAGGCTTAACTATAATCATGGAGTATCTGACAGTATAAGCTCTATGATTGGCAAATAAAAATTATATAATAAAAATTATATAGATAGATTGAGTAATAATAGCAGCTATAGGAGCATTCCTTCTAGACAAAATGAATAATGGTTAGGAATTCATCTAGTGGGTTTTAATAATAATTTACTCTAATTTTCCTTCCTTTCTTATATGTTTTCCCTGATGAGAAGAGGGGGGAGAAGGAATATATATCGCATGGGCCCTTCCATTATCTTAAGAGCAACAAAGCAGCTCCTTATCCAGGATATGTCACTATCTATGATGGAGTTTTCTATATAATTAGGCTTCTAATGCTTATGTAGCAGCACATTCTCCACTTGCAATAAGTTAACTAGTCAGTGAGGTTTGGACCTAGGTTACTGACTGCGCTGGCCAGTTTAGGAGGAAGGTTGATGTTGATGAGCTCAAAGGTAGAGTATTTCTTGTTGTTTGAAATATTTTGAACAGAATAGCCTAGAAAGACAGTCTTGGCTTTCTGGGATAACTCATATTATACACCAACTACCACTAGGCCTGAGACATACAAATCAAGTTCCTGAGTGATTGCCTCAACATCATGAACTTATTGGATGAATACTGTCACCTCGATCCAAGTTACCCCGGGCGGGCAAAGTCGCGGGCATGCACGCTGTTGGAACGAGAGAGAAGAGCGCGCAAAGCAGCCTGAATATCAGCGAGAAGCTCTGCGGCAGTGGTGGGGGTGGGGAGCTGTGTCGAGGAAGGTTCAGCGGGTGTCGCCGCATTGGTGTCAGGCGCAGAAGCTGCAGGTGTTGTCACAGCCTGAGAGGCCGAGGTTGCAGCTGGCTCTGTATCACTGGTAGAAGACGGCTGAGGGGCTGCTTGGGTGGTGGAAGGAGTGGAAGTCGAGGGGCTGGGAGCACTCGAAGTACTGGAGGAGGACGTGTTGGAAGCACTGGAAGCACTGGAAGCACTGGAAGCACTGGAAGCACTGGAAGAACCGGAAGAACCGGAAGAACCGGAAGAACCGGAAGAACCAATCTCCTTCGTGATAGGTGCCTGCTCAACATAAATGCCAGACCAGAACCAGTCCTCTGGTGCGTCGTTGGAGGATCCCCCGTTGGGCAGGCGCAGCTGGCCGACGTGCCAGTCTGCCGAGTTGGTCGAGGTGGATGCGCTGACGGGAGAGACAACCTCGGTCAAGGGATCGGAGCCATTAGACGCCCAGAGACCGACCTTTTGCGATGCAAAGTCGATATCGTAAGCGAAGTTGTACCAGTTGCCTGGCTCCAGCTGGACCGACCAATGTGTTTGGCCACCTGCATTCCAGCGCAAGGTGTTGTCGGATGAGCCGGACGCGCCATACTTGAGCTCAGTGAAGTGGCTCTCGAAGAACGCGATCTGGTGCTCGAAGGAGGCGTCGGGGGCATTTGTTGTCTTCGTGGACAGGGAGAAGTGATAGTATAGATGGCCCGAGCCAAGATTGGCGGTAGTCTGGGGGATGAGTTCAGAGCGCTCCATGTTCTGTCCATTCCAGAAGGAGGTTCCATCCTTTTTTACTGTTAGTCCTTTTTCCACCGCACAGAAGTGAATGACATACAATGGTGATTCGGACCCCCTGGGCGTCGCTGGTGTCGGCCGGGTTCTTGAAGTCGGGGGACAGACCCAGATACTCGCTCGTCTTGCCACTGCCGTGGATGTACCATTGCCATGATCCAATTTGGTTGGACCAGGACCCTATATTAATCAGTGAGGGTTCAAATTAGAGGGGACGGGCAGTTGAATACATTTGTCAAAGTCCTCAACGGTGGCAGAAGAATCGAAGATGCCGCTCCACAGCACGGATCCAGCCAGCGATGAAGCGGGGAAAGCAAGAAGAGAAATGAATGACCTCATGGTGGGAGAAATGCAGTAAGGAATGCTAGAGAACAGAAAGTGTGACCGGCACAGTTGGTTGAACAAGTAAACTGTGGGCTGTAGAGCATTCAAGTACTTTAAAAAGGTGAAATGATCATGGGTGGGGCCTGTTAGGGTTAGATTGGCGGGCGAGTGCTGAAACATCCCGTTTCCTCACTGGTAGTTAAGCTTGTTTCACTTTGATCAACAGGTCTCAGTCTAAAGCTTGAAGATTGCCACTATTTCAACACCGTAGATACACTATGGCCCTCTGGTCCCTGGGTGGGGCGCTTCCTGATTATCCTGCAATACCATTATTTCCACCCATCACAGTCCGAGCAACATGAAGAGGACATTGCCCATTGTAATATGGCCTCCTCATTTTGTATCTATCCATAGTCTCTTCTCAATGATATCATACAGTCCTACTAAGATGATAATGATTTCCCCTGAATCGGATCACATCCATACGCGCTAGACCCAATTGGGCAATTGTGTTGTTTTCTCCTGAACACCACAAATCCAAAACAGAACCACACTCCCGCAGCCCCTATCTGTATCTGCCAGATTTCAGAGCGCAATATGCCTCGTGGACGACCTCGAACTTATGAAGACGATGGAGCTCGAAGACAAGCGCGTAATCAACGTCGAACGCCAGCGACGACGCAAACACCCTCCGGTCCTTGCCGGCTTCAGCAGCCCAGGATCACCACCTAGTGACTTACTCCTGAGCTCTTCTCGCTTCTCCAACGACGGCCATTATAATAACCCATTCGAAGAAATTTTTTGGGATTGGAATTCCGTAGAGCACTCTCAGAAAAGATCACCATTCGCGTTGCTTGGAAATTCTTATGTCCTGCGGACCCTAGGCCTGGAGCCCGATTTTGGACATACTCTGATCAGGATGGAAGGGAGTAGGTTCGATGCGAGCAGTCGAGGCTATGCGGGCTCGCCGATACTCAGCATGCATCCCCAGAAAGCGACTGGTGCACTCGCGGCCTTCTATTGAGAAAATCCACATCTGGTATCCGATACTTCCACTGGGATTTCCAGAGCAATACTTCCACATCCTATCCGGAACGTTAGCATGTCTCCATATGGCTATAATTCAGAGCCACCGTCACACCAGCTGCATTGTGTGGCTGAGAAAGTGTGCTCCAGTGGACGGGAAGAGAAGAAGACTCGTTATTGAGCAACCTCCCTTAATCATGTCCCAAATGCGGGTTGAAGCAGCCCGTGGAGATACCGTGGTTGTCATACTCCTCGCTCGGTTATACGATGGTCTACAGCTACATAGACGAGAGGTAGCCCGAGGACCTGAAACAGCAGGTAGATTAAGGTGGAGCACTATTCTTTATGTAATGTTTGACGCTCATATGCTGTCGAGGCATATCGTGTGTTATACAAACGTACATCGAGTCATCGACAAGCCCGCTGCCCCTGTCCGGCCAACAGCAATCCCTAGGTCTGGATTCTCATGGCTCAAATAGAATATTACCGAGAGTGTGCCAATGGTGGATTTCTCAGGGTGATACGGTAAACTCCTGGTATGCTAGGAAATACGCGCAGGTGTGGAAGTCAGCCTCGCATTTAGGCCGTACTAGTGATGCAGGTATGCTGCGCCGCAGAATCACTCCTTCCCATCAGGCTGATAAAACGTGACTGCTGCCCCGGGTAGCAGGCGCTTCAATTTCATTGTCTCGTCTCCAACACTTTTCCACCTTTTCTAGTTCATTCATCATGTCTCCCGAGGCAGACAACAAGGCTTTGCATCAGTTACAGCAAGAACAATCCAAGATTTTGGATAAGATCGATGAGCTGCGCACCATCGGCGTCGGTGGTCTCGTGGAACTGCCCCAGCTAATTGTTTGCGGCAACCAGTCAAGCGGGAAAAGCTCCGTCCTCGAAGCCATCTCTCGCGTGCGGTTCCCGGCGAAAAGTAATGTCTGTACGCGATTCGCGACGGAGGTGATCCTGCGGCGGAATCCATCGTCATCAAAAATTAAGGTGTCCATCGAGCCCGGCCCTTCTCGCACGGACGAAGACGAGCGACGCCGACTCCGGAGTTTTGCCTATGAGGACTTCTCTAATGGCAATGACCTGCCTCCCCTGATCGATAAGGCCAAACAGCACATGGGCATCACGGAGTCGGTTAACACAGGCTTCAGTGATGATGTGCTCAAGGTCGAGATTTCAGGGCCGGACAAACCGGAGCTGACTCTGGTTGATCTGCCCGGCCTGTATTACTCTACAAGTCAGGAGCAGGATTCTCAGGGTATCCTGATAGTCCGCAAGCTGACAGAGAGATATATGAATAATCCAAGAAGCATCATTCTTGCTGTGGTCAGCGCAAAGACGGACTACCATCTTCAGGAGGTCCTGAACATTGCGGAACGATTTGATCCCAAGCGTGAGCGCACACTTGGAATCATTACTCAGCCTGATATTCTGGAGGCGAACTCGGAGGAGGAAGACACATATCTACACTTTATCAAGAATGAAAAGATTCGTCTAGAGATAGGATGGCACGTCTTGCGCAATCGATCGTTTGAGACCAGGGATATCTCAGACGATGCCCGCGACGAGATGGAGAAGGCGTTCTTCAATCAGGGACGATGGTCATCGCTCTCACGGGAATGTGTCGGCGTCGAAAGTCTACGTCGCCGCCTTAGCAGCATATTGCTCAAGCTCATCCGTTCGAAACTTCCAGGGCTGATTACAGAGATCCAAGAAAAGGTGGCTGATCGACAGCAGCGACTTCCGAAACTGGGGCCTCTTCGATCCACTCTTCAGCAGCAAAGGGGCTACCTACTCAACATTAGTAGTAATTTTGAGCGCATCACTGTGCAAGCTTTGAATGGCATGTATGCAGATGAGTTCTTTGGTGGCTTGGATGATACAGGGAGTATCGAGGACTTCCGACGACTCAGAGCTGTTATACGCCAGCTGAATGAGTACTTCGCAGACGCAATGGCCATTCGAGGCTGCCGCAGGAAAATTGTCGACCGGGGCCCATTGCCTAGCATAGATGACTTGCAAGTTTCTTTCAGGAAGCCTTACATGGACGACTGGAAACCTGAATATGTAGAGCGCCGTTCGATCGAAGCAGAGATCAGCAAGCAAGCACGCAAAAACAGAGGCATTGAGCTTCCAGGGAATGCAAAACCAACTCCTCGTAGGGAGCCTCTTTCGCGACCAGTCCAAGCCATGGGAAAGCCTTGCGAAAGGACACTTAATGAAGGCTTGGGAGTCAGCGAGGTATTTCGCTTTGCTCGTTCTACAACACATTACTGACGACCATACCTATTCCTTGCTGGTTGGCTCAATTATCGATGCAGAATTTGAGAAATTGAAGCAATCATTGCTTGACAAGCTTGACGAGCTGACCGCATACACGAAGAGAGGTCACCCATTGCCCGTGGGCAAGAGCTTTCTCTCACAGATTCAGAAGGCCAGAAGCAAGCGTCAGCTAGAATCACTAGGAGCAAATCTCCGAGTCAGTCGTCTGGACGAAAAGGGGGAAAAGTACTTTTCGATGAGAGACCTCGAGCAAGCCACGTCGTCGACGGAGGCTTCCCGGAATGAATCTGCAGCCGTCGAGATCATCGACCAGATGGAAGCGTATTATGAGGTAAGAAAGTCTTCCTTTGCTGAAGCTACGACTACATCTATTCTAACTAATACTCCAGACTGCAATTGTGACGTTTGTCGACAATGTCGCAACTCTAGGCATCGAAAATTGTCTTCTTGACCCGCTGCAACGTATATTTACCAGCCAGGTTGTGAATAACATGGATGATGATCAGATCCGAGAACTTGCCATGGAACCGCCTTATATACATGAAGAACGACAACGGTTAGGCCGCGAGCTCGACAAATTGCAAGCTGGCCTACGGGCCCTCAGCGTCTTCAACACACAAAAGCCGTCATTGGGTAACCCACCCTTATTGGGTAAGCTGCAGAGTCCTTGTATAAAGAATTACAGTATAACCGGACCTCGCTTGCAGTGAACAGGCCGGCTGCAGGACTATCGGACGGTCCTATTTCTTCCATTGAAGAAAACCGTCCAGGACCAACAATAGCCTCAGCCAACGGAAACCCCGTCGCTGTAACCGAGTCCATTGCCCCCTTGGAGTCTCCCGGACGTAGGTCTATGTGCCTTTTCCCTAAACAGGATCTTGCTAATTCGGGCGAAAGCTACGAAAGCTGCGGAACCGAGACCACCCACTGTACTTGAATCGGCCAAGGCTTCACCGGCAGCTTCTGGGACTCTGTCTAATGTCAGCCTATCTAAACAGAAACCCGTGTCTGGTGGCTTTGGTACAGCCCCGTCTGAGCACAAGCCTGTTTCTGGCCTTTTTGGTGCAGCCATATCAGAGCAGAAACCTATTACAAGGGCATTTAGTACAGGCTCATCAGAACAGAAACCCTTGTCTGGTGGCTTTGGTATATCCTCCTCTGAACATAAGCCTGTTACCGGTCTTTTAGGTGCAGCCATATCTGAAAAGAAATCTGTTTTTGGTGGCTTGGGCACAGACACATCTACGAGCACCAGCACCAAACCTATGACAGGCACCAGTACCGGCACCTCTACTACTGTCCAGCAGTCCGGCATAGGCTCCACCAGCAAGAGAGTAAATTCTCCGTTTGACCCCGAAACATTTCAAGGCTTTGGTCAGAATCTGTAAGATTGGGCGTTCTCGTGTTATGCAAGAACCCTTCCATTGAGCATTCTTGATTCGGATATCTGCATCTGCATATGAAGTATCTAACACTTGCCTTAGAACTGTTGCAAGTAAAACCCCAGCACATATCTCAGCTTTGAGTTCCGTTGTGAAGTATTCCCCTGAGGTCTGCCACCCCTTTGACGTCCACGTGGCACCCCATGCTTCGCTATTCGAAAACAGATGTATTGGGCTGATGGTTACCAATCCAGGAACTCCGACTTGCTTGGTATGATGCATTTAGTGGTAAACCCCGACTCTCTGTCGGAGATCCTCCCCTTGTTTGATGAAACCTTGAGCGCACCGCCGCTGGCGACAGCAGAAGATAGGACGAAACGTCCTAACCCCAACTTTGTGCTTAGCGAACTAACCTTAGCCGTGGGACGATGGGATTCGAACTTAGCACGACTGAGCAAGGTTCAAACACTGCCATAAGATACAATTTCATCATGCTGGTAGTCGACAGAGGATTGGATTTGTTGGCGTTCTTATCATGAATCGCCACGTTCAGGGCTCGTTTGCAATTTACAATGCCAAGATCCGTTTGCCCCTGGGAGCCGCAAGTCATGTAATTACCTGTTCGCTTGCCAATTAGAATTAGGGGTCTAGCAGAGCTTACGATTTCTTTGGGATGAGCCTCCCCCCTGGTGATAATCAGGTCGGAAGAGACATGCATGACAAACGGAAAGACAGGAAAACCGATGTTCCCGTACCAGGATGCAACGTCGAGTCGAGAGTTTCCTTGGCCTGCCACACCTTCGGAGTCATATTGTGAATGTGATCCTCCAGACATCGGAAGGAATAGTTTCCTGTCTGAGTGTCCATGCTGTCCATCCTGGCCTTGAAGCGGGTCCTTCTCCGGTTCTTAAGCATCCCGAGCACCAGCATTGTTGTGGCGGGTAAGCAATGGTTAAAGTCCCACTTGAAAATGAGGAGGATATCTCGGGCATCTGTATTGTAAAAACTAGTAGCCATGCATTTATTCAGCAGGCTCTATTTGTGCCGTAGAAGAGAGGAATGCAGGTGTTATTCCCCTTTCTGCCTTGGAACTGGGCGAGGCGGATGTCACTATCCCTGTGGCCCAGTATCAGTCGAAAACCAGTGTTACAAATTGCGCAGTCCGCAGAGTAGATCTATTCCGTTCTCCAGGCACTTCAGGCAGGTAAATCTAATCATCAGAGAAAATGTTATAAATCAGTCTTTTGCTAACTCGGATTTGATTGTGCAGGGATATGTATCTGTAGTTGTGAGTTTGATTCACTGCTTCACTGCTATCGATATTTGGTGTTTATATGCTGAGGTAGTAGCTTGAACATATTCTGCATGCTGTCTGTGCTTATGTACGAACCTTGAATGTAGGATGATATCAGTGAAACTCTAAAAGAAGCTACCTAGAGTTGGGTTGGATTTTGGTTGATCTGCACTATATCTGATCCACTCATCTAACGCAAGAAATACTGACAAATACTGAACTATGAGGCCATAATGGCGTTCAGTTCCACAAGGTTATTTCAACCTTTGTAATCCAGCCAAGGATCATCACAGAGCTCTCTTGCTGTCGCTCGACATTCTGGGTCCCACTGCAACATTCTTTCAGCAGACCTAATAAATAGCTGCTTGTCCTCTCCGTCCAAGAACGGTGTAAGGTTTGAGAAAGAGAAACCCTCTGGAGGGATCAACTCTGGATACTTAAAGTCACCTATATAGAGAGACGTGTAAGTACAGAAGAAGTCATGAAGGATGGAAAGTCGTACCATCGTCGGAGAAAAGACCAGAACATATAGTCGGATCGACCCTCTCCAGAAACCGCAAATAAGGCGGGCCAAGCAGACGAAAGATCGGGGCCAAGTGAGCAGCGCGGCCATAAGCATTAGCTCTGCGATCTATGCCGTCGAAAATATCGATTTCTCCGAGTAGCTCCCAAAGCTATCAATATCAGAACATGGTACTCCATAATCAAAGCTGCGTGTGATTACCACAGTCCCTAAATTCCAGATATCGGTGCTATACCACCACGCACACTCTAAGAGAACTTCCGGTGCGCGTAATTGCCGGGGTTGGATATCGTGCGTATGAGGTGTAGACTGATCACCAAAAACGGCAGTACTGAAGTCGGTTATCTTGACACACCGCATGCCTCCTTGGAAAACGCCCGAAATCAGGGCGTGACTGGTAGGTACGACGACGAGCAGCATGTATCTTGTACGGAGCAGGATGGCTTTCCTGGTGGCGCACGTAACTGTCAAGAATGGTGTTGTTTTCGAATCCCACCAGGAAATTTTCTGACTTAAGATCTTCACATCTTGTCTACAATGGCCAAGAGAGATAAGGAGAAGGCAAATTACCAGTATGTATGATACGGAATTTAGTATGGAAGAAGTCCAAACCCTGTAGCAATAGTCTCAAGAAGATCTTCAGCGCATTAGGAGGGACGCCAATACCCGCGAGGTGCTTCCCCAAGAGCCAGAGTGGTTCTGTTAATCGGTCGAACACTAAACACGTATGTTCTCCATAAGGACCATGGATATCGAAAAATTCATTTGCTACGCGGGCATATGCCCGACTTTGGTAGCTGGACTCTAGTTGAGAAATGTGGCGAGATATGAGGAGCTCTTCCTGGGCAGATTCCCGATCTCTAACGCCGCAGTTTGGGATTTTTAAATCGTAGTACCGGTCTGACTGCCAGGGCCATCTTCCACTAATCAGATCGATTGAAAGGTATATGAATACGGCTTACCGCAAAGTGTCTTTAGCCAGCCACACAGTAGAATTGCCGCCCCATCCGAGTTTCGATATCAGGCGGTATTTGTCGTGAATAAGCTCCGATACAAGCAGGATAGTACTTAGTTGCATCGTGACTGGTGCTGCTGTCTTCTTCATGGTTGATATCAGAATAACAGTCGCTCGTATACCTGGCTACTGTTTTAGTCAAGGAGCGAAGCCGAGAAGCCTTGAAATAAAGCAGACGTTGGATCGCCATCAAATATTCAATTATTCTGTAGCAGAAAAGTCGGCATACCGCCGTTAAATACCGGATATCGAGCACCGGGCCGTTACTACATTTATCCGAAATTCGGTGTCTGATCTAGTTAACCTATTATTTTCCTAATGTTGCGCGCCAAGATTCAATGAGAAATAAGTTGGTCAGGGACAAAGTTCTAGAGCACTACAAACAACAGAGTAAGATGGCCCCTCAGTAATCATTTTCGGTGATTAGTACAAGCAATTTAAACTACTTTCAGGTGTTCGCGGGCCGAACCGAACAAGACCCGCAGCCCCACTATCCCCCGCATCAGGCTTCCGAGCTCATAACCACTTCCTCAAAGCCTCTTTTGAAATGAAAGATGCGATTCTATATTTGATTTAGCTTTCTTCCGAGGCTTCAAAATGTATTGTAACAAAGCATCACATGAGAACTGATTTTACTACCTACTTTTGTGTTTATCCCAAAGCCCTCTCTTCTCATCCTAACTCTCCCACTGCCCTTCCGCAAAATGGCTCCGTGGCTCCCTCCTCACTGGAACATGGAAGTTGATTGGTGGCTTACTCCCTTTGGTTTGGAGACTACACATACAGCAGCCAGTGGTCTCAACCATCTGCAAGAGAGTATCTTAATCTTGCGATTTTGTGACATGCCATGGATGAACCCGCGCGTAGTGTTTGGTGCCTGCAGTACTCCTTGAAGGCCCGCAGCTTTCAGATGGGTCATCAAGAAACAGCAACGTTTCTAAGACTAGCTTCCCCATAATGCCTTTCCATGACAAGGTACATCCGTAAATTTCCCTCGAGGCTTATACCTCCTCGCCCGACCGCGGCCCACATCACTTATCAGACACTTTCTGTATAATCTCATAGCTTCACTGCGTCCGATAGCCAGGAAGAAAAAGGCACAGCAGCAGAGGGTCGAGCCAAATACGGCCTCCGCGACGCCGTCACGGCTTGTTAGTGAGTTTCCGGTGATGTTGCTCCCGTTGGCAGCGAGAAAAGCGAATTTGGATCGGCAAATAGGGCAGTTGTTGTCAACGATACATCCTTCTTCTCCCCATCCTCGCTTACTGCGGCGGTCGATGGAAGGAAAGAGAATAGAGCGGGGCTTGGCACTGGAGACGTGATGTCTGATGTGGATCCTGATTTGGACTCATGTTCTTCTTTTCCCTTGCCTTCCGCAGGTGGTGATTGAGAAGGGGATAAAGGAGGTGGAGCTGGAGCTGGAGCCGGCGAGATTCCTCTTTCAATATCAGTGATCCCACGACTTTGTCTCAGTTGGTTGGAGAGACGGGTAGCCCCAGCCCTGAGCTTTAAACATCTGCCGTGTAGAGGTATACTCTGTCCTGCCTCTCGCTGCATCAAACGGTTTGTGACCCAGGCGGCGGCGAGGGTGAGTACCAGAAGAGGAAGTGCTGCCGCCGGATACAGTTTCGGATTGGCATTCAAGTTGGGCATAGCAAAAAAGCTCTTACTCTAATGTCAGACATCCATCAAATGAGCAACACTTACTGCGACATATGATAGCGGGATATAGATCAAGGCAAATACAGTAAGCCCAGCGACTGACCGGCTTTGGGCCACGGTGGCCAAATTCGATTCCTTTGGTCTTATAGCGTTTCCGCGATACTATGATCAATTGTTAGGCCATACTAAGTTAATTAAATTGGAGAACTGCTCTTTCAGTGTATCTAACGTGATCATATTATGGTCGAGCTGTCTCTTCATTTGGCGCAACTGGTCGCTCAAGTCTACCCCAGAGCGTCCATTTTGTTTGTCTCTGGTATGCACTATAACGGCCAGGTAAAACGAAGGCTTTCTCTCACCTCAACCACGGTGGCTGCCTGTTGGTGCAACAGGGGTGTTTTCACCGCGACAGGTAGACGATTCCCGGAACTACGCAATTCCGCCTCACGGAGTTTGCCTCTCAGAGTATCGAGAGTTGACGTCCAGTCCCCGAAAAGATACAGACAGTCGGCAATCCCCCATCGTGGTTCCTTTAGGAGTCGCTTCCATCTACGAGCGGAGTCGCTACTGTAAGCCCAACATGTGTCACAAAGCCATAGGTACAGGCTGACCAGGTTCGGATGACTCCATTCCATGCATGCCTTCTTATCTGTATATATTGTAAAAAGCATCATTTGAAGCTACCAGATTTTGCCTGCGAGAACGGACATGTGGCTACACCTCGCGCCTTGATGACCTCCATGTCAAGGCTCATCTCTTCCAATCCTTTTCCCTTCTGTGGCTCCGGCCCTATCGTCATCAGGTCATATCCTTGTGGCAGATACCGGTCCCCGCGCGAACCCGGCACCTTGCCTCCGAATATTCTAACCAACAACGCCCCCGGTCCCCATTTGGACCAGAGACTGGGTCGGACGTACCATGGTTGCAGGCCCTTTCTTTCGAAGTTGTACAGATTCGTTTCCGGGTTTGGCGTATCATGCACGAGCTTGACGGCCAGGAAAGAGGGACGTGGAAGTGCAAAAAATCGAAGGACCAACTTTCGTGAATGTCGGACGAGGCCCAGCACAATGGAGAGGAGAAGGCTGGGAGATTCGAGACTGGGACTGTGAGCAACGTACGGGATTCACGGGCTGAAATGGGGTACAGAACTTACCCAAGGCTTGTCCTCATGATATCATCCAAGTCAGCACCCAACATCTGTCGCACCACTGGTTTTACGAAGCCGGGAAGCGCAGAATCCACGTAAACTCGCACGTATTGATCGTTTGTTGCGGCCGATCGCGCGACTTCTTCCTCATAGTGGATTGTCCAGTTGCGCAGTTCTAACGCGAAGTGCAGGCCATCTTTCCAGCCTTGTGCGCTTGAGGGAAGCGCATCAAATGGGATTCCCATATCCTCGCCCAGGTTCTTGTGAAAGATGCCGAGGGCACATTTCTCAACATCCGTAAGCTTACGCCACTCTTCTCTCTCAATCACATTCAAGATCTCGGCAAGACCATCACCTAAGGTGTGGAGAAGATCATCATCGGTAATTTTGTTGGCGCGGCGGTAGCGGGCATGGCTGAACGACGGCAAGTTAGTCGACCAAACGAAAGGCTGCTATTTAACTTCAGGGTTACATACAGATAATTCATTCTCGCCACGGCTGCTGCATAACGGTCCGAATTTCGAGGCTGGGACTGCGACTCTCGCAACAGAACTTCCGTGTCAACAGCGCGCCTACCCGCGTTCCGCCTGTTGTTCTGGCCAGTAACGGCAAAAAGCTTCGACATAGTCGGAATACCACCGGCCTGTTTCGGTAGTGCGACATGGGAATTAGTTTCGGATAATCCAGCATCGAACGCTTCGGCCAGCTAGCCACAGTTGCTTTATCGTACCTTTAGTAGCGCCATTCGACGAGCCTTGGCAAATGCATATGGAAATTCCATTTCTTGCAATTGGGTAATAATTGCATGAGCTTCTTCGACTGTCATGCTTGATAATGGCCTCCCGCCACTGACGAATGGGGCCTCGATCTTTGCCATGCGGCGGTACCGAAGACGCTGAACCAGTGCCATATAGCTGGTGAGAACTATGGCAATTGCCAAGGAACAATTGTTCCATAGTGCATGGAAAGCTTCAGTTGCTCCAGGCATCCTGTCAACAAGTCCGTAGAAGTTCTTGCCGTGAATCAGGAGAGGTAGGGCTATCAAATCGTCGTTTCGTCGCTATATGGTGCAAAATAACTCGCCACTAACTAAACCGTATTTCGCGCTGGGGTTGTTTTAAATGATTCGACGAAGAAGTATCCCAGGGTGATCGAGGATATTTAAACCGAGTTCGAATTGGCAAGGGAGGACTGTGAATCACTACATCCCAACATAGGCTCAGATATGGAGAACAAGATATTGTAATCGAACCCATGCACCGAGGCTGCTCACCGAAATTTCCGCGCACCAAAGAACAAATCATCGGGCAGAGTATCATTCATAAGTCTAATGATGATACATTGTTGATATTCCTTGATCTATCCCCGACTCTGGCCAGGTATCTCACTTAGTCTCGTTAAAGATGCAGCCAGAAACCCATATATGGCGTAGTAAGTCCAGCATGCCTCTTGGGGAAGATAATGCTGAAAGTAGGAGGACTCCAAATCCTGGCCATTCAAGGCGCGTATGTAAACGGGCAAATTGTCAGCCCTAGAATCATCGGGACCCACTACATCTCGGGGTGGCTGCCATGGACGGTTATGGTTGATTCGTAGTCGCAGGTGAAGGTGGGACGACGTGTTGGGGATTGCTTGTTGAATCAATTAATCCAGTTCCATGGATACACTGCAGACTTTGCAGTCAACCAATGAACTTTGGGGAATAACCGTTGAGCATTGAATTGCCGAGGTTAAACTGATTACAATATCGGATCACGCTAGTTCTGCACTAAACGCCACAATTGATACAGTCCATCCCAGCAGAGTAGATATACTGTTGCAAAAAGTAATCTAATCTGCAAAAATTTACTCGGTCCTTAGGCGAAACTGGTCTCTTGCCAACTCCGAGCTAATCCAGGCATGGTGCCCCGCCGATCAAAACGAGCAGGACGCCCTCGTCTGGACGCCAGCAGGGACGCCATCCTCTCCGCCGATCGTCGCAGCCAGGTCCGTCGCGCCCAGCGCACATACCGACTGAAGAAGGAGGCCGCTTTCCGAAATGCGACCGCCAGAGCCGAACAGCTTGAAGCAAGAATGCGCACCGCCGCTGAAGAGGTAACCTGGCTGTCCGAGGTCGCCACAGAGGCGCAGCTGCATCTCTCTCATCCTGATATCTATGCGAGCCTGAAGCGGCTTCATGGAATTGTAGCCGATGGTTATAGTCCCATCGAGGCCGGTGCCCCTACCGAGCCATCTGCGGATTCATCCGATGAAGTGCCAGTGGTCAGCGCGCAAGTTCAATGCCCCGGACACTACCCACCTCCCCCTCCTCTACCAACCAGGCAGCATACCTACGCATTCCAAGAAGTGCGTTTCGCTCGTCGATTACAGCGATACTCCCTCGAGCACGCCTTTCGTCTCTACACGGAGTTCCGGTCGGATCCGCGTGAGATTCACCGCGTCTTCCGCCTCGTCCCCTGTGTGAGGGATCGGGGAAAGACGCAACCGCGCTTCCGGCAGCTCTTGATGGGCGGACGAACGGACCCTCTGGAGGTACCGGGTCTCCCATTTTACACCGTCGGCGGCGCGGGTACGCACTTCCCGGATGTTGATGAGAAGGGAAATGCGATATACCCGGTGAATAGTCGGATGCCACGGCGGGTTTTGGGGATATTGCCGTGGCCGGAGCTAGGAACCAATGGAGGTGAAGAGGCACTGGAGGTCTATGGGCTTGGAGGGGAGTGGTTTGATAGCCGTGATGTGGAGGGGTATCTCAGGCTGCATGGGGTGGACGTAAATGGGGGTTTGTTTCCTACGCTGCACATATCCAGTGGAGCAGCTGAAAGGGATCGCACTCGCTCCTTTGTCTTGGACGTCGAGGGTTTTTTCTCACGTGAGTCCAGTCCGCCATACTGCGCGATTGTTCCTATGCTCATCGCTCCAGGGCTTCTCTCCGGGCTTGTTATCCTTGGCCGCGCGCCTGGGTTTAGGAAGACAGACGTCAGGCGTGCATTTAAAGCTTCGGTAAAGAGGGCTGATCATATATAACCGGTAGATCATCCTTGGAATCATGCTCGATATGTACCTCGGAGGCTTCGGCTGATCACAATATTCTAGGGGAACGACATGATTACAATATAATCTGTACCGGCCCGACTTGATATGAAGTCCCTTCATCTTCATACTGTGATACCTAAAACGCCGCTAGCATAGCCTCACTCGAAGATCTAATCATCGTTCAGCCCATCGACACCGACTGCTACCGTTCTGTTGTCGTTCCTCCCATCCGCATGGGCGATCTGGCTGACTAGGCCTAGCCATCATCGCTGCCTACGTGACCGTCACAGCGGGCCAGCACCTGTGCTCCATTAGCAGCTGTTCGTGCGACCCCGCAAGCTCATCCCAGAACCTCATCTGCCGCGTTGAGCGCATCTACATGCGACAAACAAAAGGCATCTCTATCTGGTCCAGTCCGAGAATCCAAACAGCTATGCCCCCATTACAACGGCAGATTTCCACTCCGATGAACTCATTGCATGGTGAATTGTCCGGTAGTTACCTATAGAGTTAGTAAAAAACTAACTACTAATCCTACATATTTATATGAGCTTATCTAATGATCATATATCCTTACTCACGAATGGGTGGACCGCTGTGGCGAAGATATATGGAGACCTGAATATGTGTCAAAGTAGAATAGTCCCAACATCTGGTAAGTAACAAAGGTGTTGCCATCACCCTAGTTGCGGACTCCAGGGGTCCCATTAAACCGAATACGCCTCAGAAACCGTCTGGGATCCTTAATCTCCGTCCGACAGTGCAAAAACCGCGCATTGTCCATCAGAAGGATAACATTCTCCTTGAATACATCCTCAGAGAAAGACTTTCCCACAGTATCCCGCTTATCCAGAATGGCGTTCAACTCCGCAACGGCCGCATTGGCAGCCGGATCGTCGCTAGGCGGATCGGCCAGGATATCGCGACGGAAGCGCACAAGATATCGTCCCGTATTCGGTTCAACAGACAGCAACTTGTGTCTTGTCGTTGCGGCCCCCTTGTAAAACTCTGGTGGAACTTGGAGCTCAAACTCGTAGTTGAGGAGGGTCTCGATCGAGGCCGGGGACAGTAGGTTGACGAGATCATCTACGGCGAGCACACGGAAGATACCTCCGCCCAGCTTATCTGGATGGAGGATGTGTAGCCCGAAGTAGCGTTGTGGGTTGACCTCGAAGCAGCCGTCGGTGTGCCAGGCGAATTCGCCCAGGGAGTGGGAAATGCTGACTACGTTGCGGCCGGTTTTCTGGCTGATGACGCCCCTGGGTCGGTATGTTACGTCCCACTGAGAAGAAATGCTGGTTAGTGGGAGATTTTGGATGTGTTAAGATAAACAAGAGGCTAATACCAATGCACCCTGTGTGCTGGAGTGGGTGTCGGGACTACATCCCATCGCTTCCACGACTTGGAGCATAAATTGACTCTTAGGGTCACTGAAACCAAGCTCAACGGCAACAATGCCGTATTCTTTCAGGGCCTGTGCAAATGCATCCTTCATATCCAGGCCGATTTCGCGTGAGGGAGCCTTGAAGGTGGTACCCAGCGGAAATCGGAACTCCTCGGCTTTGTTCCTCGAGGCATGGAGGAACAAGGGCGACTTCCTGACTAGATTTTGGAGGAACGCAATCTCTTGAGTAGGGAACGAGGAGTCTAGCCCTAATTGCTCCCGCGAAGGGACGGAAGATCTCAATGGAGAGTGGGATACATGAAGCAAGCGCGGCAGGCACTTGGGGGCCGACCGCAGGACAGTCAAGGCATAGGAACGGCTAGTATAGCCAGCCAGACGCTGAAGGCAAGATCTGGGGACTTGAGAAGGAAGTGACATGGTAACGGGGGCGCCACAGACTAAGCGGGGGAAGTGTTTCTTGATAGCCGTGCTGGAGCTTGGATCTGAAGAAGATGGCCAAAACGAGAACTCGTAGGGGTTTATATAGATCACCATATCCTTATTTCTCAGCAACCAGCGCGTGAGATAGTGGGCGGATGGTGATTGGTACAGTATTTCCAGTCGTGATAAGAATCATCCACGCATTCTTTTTGTCCTTCTACTGGATGAGACCTGGTGGGTCAACGTGGGCTAGAGTATGTTGCAGATGTGAGGAGGTGCATTTTGGCAGATATTGAGAGGGTAATCGTGTCTCCTACCTGTACGATTTACCGACCAACTTTCCGGATTTGGAACAAGTAGTGAGGTTGCTCTGTCGGCGTCTCATGAGATACCATCTTCCCTGTCCATAGGGCAGGGCCGCAGGGATGTTCGAATCATGCTGCCTAGCAGACCTAAGACCGACAGCCGCTTGAGATGTTGGGAATATGATAGGTGAAGGAATTTCTGCTAAAATTGAATAGACAGGGTTTTTGTCCACTATATGGACGGTCGACGCTCAGTGGGGTTGCTCTATCCTCGTCATGTAAGAGCAATGCCAAGAGGGATTGATCTGCACCAGCCATTCAATCATGACCTGGATTCCCCTTTTTCCCCCTGTACGAAGTGTCAAAAGCGCGCTGGAATATCCAAAGTCTTTCCCCCACCGTCTTCCTGATAAGAATGATCCGCCCATATCAGCCCCTATGCTTCTGTCCGGAAATATATCACCCTGCTTCAACCATTGCAGCCTAACTGGTCTGAAGAAGGGCGATTCCTCTTATATTACCATTTACCTTTCCATTGGCAAAAAGACGAAACAGCATTGAATGACAAGATGCTCAACACTCAGCCGCCTGAGTTGTCACAGAACAAAGGTGCGTGGGCTGCTATAAGAAAGTTAGTAGCATATGCTTATCACTCTGACTTCAAGAATCCTCGAATGGATGTTCGCCAAGTCGAGTATGGGCTTCCAGCGAAGTTGACAATCCTTCGGCATTCCCGACTGCACATGAAGATGTCACGGCTTTCCCGGCTCCCGAAAAGCCATCCCGGTCGTGGCTTACGCGGGTCTTGCTTGGCATCGGGGAGTTGGCGATGGATCAGTGGTTTCTGATTGTCATGGGCATCCTGATTGCGTTTGCCTCGCAGATACAGGTGCTGCAAGCCCACCAGGAACTGAAACAAACAGTGACCAATTACCTAGCCGTTGCCGTCATCTTCTTCATCAATGGCTGCACCCTGCCCACAAAGGTCCTGGTGGAGAACCTCAGCCGGTGGAGGATGCATATCTTCGTCCAGGTGCAATGCTACCTTTTGACCTCGTCGACCAGCTACGGGGTCGTTAGTGCGGCGGCTACCAATCACCAATTTATGGACCCAGCCCTGCTGGTGGGTATTGTCATCATGGGCTGTCTTCCTACCGCGTATGCACACTTGCCTTCAATAGATTTCGATGCTGATAAACGGTCCCGTTACTAATGAGAAGCCTATTTTAGAATTGCGTTCAATACGATTATGACCAACAAGGCCAATGGAAATGCAGCCTTGACCGTAGCGCAGTCCACTATCGGAAACATCCTTGGTCCTTTTGTGAGCACAGCCTTGATCAAGCTGTACATCAGCACGAATGTGTGGTACACGGACATTCTGCCGGAGATGTCTTTGGGATTTGGTGAGACTTACCGATACGTCTTCAGACAACTTGGGCTCTCGGTGTTTGTTCCACTGGTGCGTTTTCTTTCCTATTTCCTGCAAACGTTCCTATGTGCTCTCGGTTGACCGGGTCTCGGTCTTCTAGGCAGTGGGTCAGATCGTGGTGAAACTGTTCCCTAACCAGGTGAGAAAGGTCCTTCTGGAATGGAAAATGAGCAAGCTAGGCTCCTGTGCCTTGCTGGTGCTTATCTGGAGCACCTACGACGGCGCATTTGCTTCGAATGCGTTCGCTGAGATCCCGTCGAACAACATGGTCTTTACCGTGTTTATTCTCGTCGCACTGTTTTGCCTCTGGATTACTATCGCCTTTGTAATATCCCGAGTGTGGCTTTCTCGCGAGGATACAATCGCAGTGTCGTACTTGGTTTCTACAAAAACCCCTGCCATGGGTGTGCCACTGACTACCATCATGTTCGTGGGTCTGTCTGCCGCCGAGCAATCACGGACAAGACTGCCAATGGTCATATTCCAGGCCATTCAGATAGCTGGCAGTAGTTTGTTAACGATACCGCTAAGGAAATGGCAAGCGCAGAGAAAGGTTGAGGGGAGAGGAAATGGGACGGCATAATCGTCCGAATGCCGATCGCAGGGAGATCTACAGATGGAATTCTAGGCAGCTGTATTGATCACATGTGAGACCAATGAATTGAATGCAACATATGGAAGAGAATCATCAGAAAACGCAGATCACTGATCAAACGGCCAAAGTCCGTGCCAAGGATGCATGCCAAGTCGGGAGGTATACCTAGGTTGTTCCCACGTCTGTAGTGTACGCCGTCCAATCGGATCATCATTGAGGTAGCAGGGAGTTGAAAGACGAGTAGGGTAATAGACTCCACAGACTTACTTCTCGGCATTAGGCAGCAGCATAGCTTCCCTGATGCAGTAACGGAACTGGTGGTATCCATGCAACCTCTGTCGCCATTGAGTGAAGCCATGCCGTGATGATTGTACAGCTAGACCTAACCCATGATCCAAAGACATGGGTGTTGATACACGTCGGTGTACTATAGCAGCATAGTCATTCACAACGTCGGCAACCTGGGTCCACGAGAAGCCTCTTTTTAGCTAGATCCAATCAAATACGGAGTAGGCATTTTGGGGATGCAGTGGTACCGCACAGGTGACTGTCTATGCATGAGTAGGTTCCTCATTCAGCCCTAGATAATCATGCTGATCAGTCCTTGTCAGTATCAATTACTAAAATAACAGTTGACTGACGCAAGACTCGTTTAAATTGTGTCAGGTGCATTTACTACAACGCACCAATGAAAGGAAACATCCCTAACAGAAGGATCAACCCCCTAGTCCGATAACATCATTCCAGCAGTATCTGGAACATATCTCATTACCAATCCTATCTACTAGTATCATTTCACCTGCACATGGATTTTCACTATGCTTTGAGTGGCTGTATCTATCAAAGACAATGAAATCTATCCCATCCACTGTTCTTCAGAGCTCAGACATATGCTATCCTGCACGAACTCGGAACTCATGAACCACTGAAGTTTTTCCTTTTCTTTTCCTTTTCCTTTATTTTTCGTGGCATAGTATGACATCTCAAAATTAAATTCCTGTCCCGGCTGAAGAGGGCTGCTCTTGGCTCAGTCCGCCCCAGTCAAGTAGCTGTTGATCATCCGGCCTGTTTCGGTGTCGTTGCCGAAAATGGCTCAGCCTGCTGATCATAGGGCTGCCCAGGAGACCCTGCTGGTATATGGATTGTTCCTATGCTGGGTGATTGATGAGGAGATTTACTAAGCAGCAGATTCCAGCCTTATATGTTACGGCCATTGACTTATTGCATACACCTGCTTAGGAACTTCATAGTTCTGCACTGTCATACTATATATTATGACTAACAGGACTGTGCTGGAGAAGCTACATAGAAAACTACTAAGGACATGGAAAATCATATACGGAGTAACCAATCCTACTAAGCTAGGAGTGGTTGTCAGGACGCCTTTTGTTTTAGTGGTAATATTGTTGACTTAGGTCTATATCGAGGGGGTAATCGTGTTAGGCTGGCTGAATTCCCAGTCCATAGTCCAGGGTGTATCTTCTAATGTAACTTACAAGGTAGTGGTACTTGCTGGTTATTTTAGTGAGGAACACTCTCTGACTACTTACCTAATGCACGCAGCACACGCGTAACTAGTATCTTTTGTTCACTTTCATATGAGAGAAAATACCAAGTTACCGAAACTCAGCCTATCTACATACCGCAGGAACCTTCATCTCACCTACACCATGGAACCCGATAATGCTTCTCTCAATGCCTTTCTCCATGTGAACTGTTAAAGACCCAGGAAGCCATTGCCAGCGGGAGACTAACCCCTGATGACCTCGAGGAGGGCTCGAGCTCGCCACCGGAAGCGGACACCCGGACATCATGGCCGCGCTCCTCGACGCCGGCGCTCAAGTGTCGGCCTCAACTGTAGACTTCCTCCCAGGGGAGGACGGACGGCAGCACCCGAGCGTCATTCGCCACTTCCTTCACCATGGCCTTGATCCCAACTCGAGCCTTTCTAACAGCGAGCCTCTCTTATCGTACGTATCGGCCTTGCTAGTCGAAGATCTGGGCTGAGACTAACTCCTCCTAACAGCCTCCTAACCAATCCCGCATGTGCTCGCGAATTACTCTCATGAGGCACTGACCCCAACCGTTCTGGCCCCAGGGATGTACCTCCCCTCGTCCGCGCCATTGTTGGCACCCGTGAGGATGACACATCGCTGCTGAGCTGCTTCTTGCACATGGGGGCTAAGCTAGACTCAGATCTACTATTTGCTGCTGTGGGTCCGCGTGTGCCCCAATGAGAGCTTATGGCTAGGTTTTTTTCTAGCTAAAGGTCTTGACCCTAACACAACCTCTGCGAAATGGGGTACTTGCTGTCCGCCTTGGCAAGCTGAATATTGTCAAGCTACTGCCGGATGCGGGGACAAACCATAGAGCATGATTGTCTGGCACGCAATATCCTGGCAAAAGCCCCTTGCAGGTAGCTGAGACCTTGCGAGATCCTAATACCCGCCAGGCTATATTTTGTCTCCTTCAGTCTTGACAGCGTTTGGCTCGCTATATCCCTAGGACATATAGAGGGTGTAAATGATTAGCTGTAACCTTAACAGGGTTAGACACCATCGCCACTATACAGCGCCGTTGTCGTGCTAACTATGCGATATATAAGTCGAGCAAGTCTTTCATAAATGTTGGAGCTTCAGATGTGATATGATCATGGAGCTTAGAATGTGAGCTGTCATGCAGAGTGTTGTCAAGGCTCTTTCAGGCAGAATATAGAATAGCGTTCCTTAGTGTGTGAACTTGCGGGGTCGTTAAATAATAGACATCCAGGATGGATTCTAATTTTTTTATGATGTAGTCTTTCATGAAGTTATAGTGCAGATATATCTAAGTATGTACTATCATCCTGTTCAGATATCTCTACATAATCTCTAGTGTAGAAATATTGTAAAAGTTTGTTAATAATATACCTTGAGCCATCTATTATCTCATAAATTCCTAATTATGCTTCAAGCTATAATTTAAGAGTATACAAGTTTATTCTAGTTAAATTAACTACCTTAAAATCCCTAATACAGGCAGCATGTATAGTTAGTGACTATAAGCAGATAACTGCGTTATATACTAGGAATATAGTTGTTAATCAATCCGAGGTATAACGTTTGTATGGTAAACGCATATACACGGAATATCAAGGGAAGAAGGTCTATTTCTTCTAATCTACGAACTCATACTAGAACTTATAGACAGGAAAGATAGTTCTCGGCTAATTGGGATGGAATCGGCGAGTTGAATCGCAATATGGTGTAATTCTCGTGATCTGATTGGTCAAATCAGAATTCCAGAGAGTTCCGAAATCCTTTACTAGATTCGGCAGCCATGCTGGCTGACAATAGTCCTATTATAAATAATAGGAAGGTTAGAAAGCTCTGTTAGCTCTCAGATTCTGGGGATTATCAGGAATAGCTATGTAATTCCCAAAGATGTGTCCAGCTTACTTGGTAAGGACATCTAAGGCCCATCAGCCGCGCGTTAAATATTGAGGGCTCGTGGGAATGGTGTGCCCCATGGAAGTGGGGGGAGGGGCGCCATCTCTGAATAGACCTGGGGTACGGGCAGTACCTAAAACTAGAGCACCGCAGTGGTTCCCGCCAAGCTTCCCCGCATCACGAGACATCGACTCTTTGTGGATCGGCCTTTTGCACTTTAAAAACAATAGCAGTGAATAGCATGATCGTCATCCAACGCCACTGTAATCCGCATAGGCAGGGTGTTAGGTAGTGTTGAGGCAACAGCATTTGTTACATTCGTCATCATTACTACTCGATTGACAAGGACCGTCTTGATAAGAGAGGAGGCGATAAGTCTAGGACAGGTAGTAAAAAAGAAGCTTCACAATGCGCTCATTTTGCTTACATTCTGGAGAAACGCTAACTTGTCTACTGGTTTGGGTCTAGGAAATGGAGGGAGCTTTCATTTTAACCAGCTGATCAGCACTGAAAGTTTAACCAGTCGTCAAGTCTCTTCAATAACATTTTTGATTCTGCAGTCCTTACTAAGACACTGTTTTCAGAATTTCATAATAGTAAACGTGAAGCTGGAATGTCTGCCACTTCGGGTTTCTACCTTTATTTTTACGACCTTTGCCGCAAACGGTTTCCACTGCAATTAGGTGAGAGGCCTAGAGCCTTCTAGACAATGTTAACATTTGTACGAACAAGTCATATGCAGCTTCACTCAACTTTATTCTGTTTTGGGTTGATGGTTATTCGGATTATTCTATGAAACGTGAGTGATAGCATGCTGTCGTCGCTCATTACAACTTATATTATTCATGGTGTGCTCCCAGTTTGGCCAATAAGTAAGCATAGGAACAAAGATAGCCTGCTGACCAGTGCCCTTTCTCGTCTGCAACAATACTCGGTGGAAGAAATACATCATGGACAAAGACTTCATGTTCGCAAAATATCGTTACTACCTTTCTCTTAGTGCATATTTTCTTGTATTTTTCCATTTCTCGGGGTCGTTGACAGAGCAGACTCAGCATTTCAACGAAGATTTCCCAGTAGAGAACGAGCCTGTTTCCTGGGCCACTTGCGCCGGTCAGCTGTATCATTACCATGGCTTATCAGGATATGGATATCTTCCTTCTAATGCTACTGATCGATACGGAGATACTTTAGGCGGGATCGGAAGCGCAGTGGCTTTTAATAAGTCGTCTTGGAGAAAAAATCAGGCTGGTAGATATGAAGGCATTCTGTGGGCTGCTCCTGATCGTGGATGGTATGTTTCAAGAACCTGTCAAAGGGTCAGAAACTATGGCTTATCCTTGCTAACATGCTCTTACAGGAATACAGAGGGTACCTTGAATTACCAATCACGGATTCATAAATTCTCAGTTCTTATGGACCCTGTTCCAGACCCCGCTGGAAACGACTCAAGTCGACCAAACATTCGTCTAAATTACCTAGATACAATATTATTGACAGGGCCTGATGGAGTTCCAATCACAAGCCTAGATCCTGATGCAATTGGATTTATACAACTTGACGGTTTTCCTCCTTTACCTCGAGCGACCTACGAAGGAGACGGATTTGGCAGCCCTGGCGTAAGGAACGCTCGTATAGCCATGGACTGTGAAGGTTTAGTTTTGAATGCGGACGGTTCCTTCTGGATCTCCGATGAGTATGGTCCATATATATACAAGTTCTCTGAGCAGGGCAAGATGATCCACGCTGTTCAGCCTCCTCCAGCGTTCCTACCCCTTCGAAATGGTACAGTAAGTTTCAGTGGGGCTGAGCCACCAATGTTTCAACGGGATCGGGTCCCCATTCCGTTAAACCCAACAGCTGGTAGAGCAAATAATCAGGGTTTTGAGGGACTGACAGCCTCTCCTGATGGAAAAACCATATACGCGATGATGCAGTCTGCCATGAATCAAGAAGGTGGGCCGAAGAAAAGGTTTCGACGGCAGGCACGTCTCCTTGAATATGACATTTCTGGGCATCACCCAGCTCTATCACATGAGCACGTTGTAACCCTACCACTCTACGACACTGGGGACAAATTGGAAGCCACATCTCAATCTGAAATCCATCAGCTTTCTAACGGGCACTTCTTGGTTTTGGCAAGGGATTCGGGGTTCGGGCGTGGTGAGGAAGAGACAGAGTCCAAATACCGTCACGTTGACATTATGTCAATTGATCAAGCCACAGACATTGCTGGCGGAGAGTATGATTGCATCAATGGCTCAATTGCAAGCGACAAGGGTGTTCTGGATCATAATCTTACAAATGCGACGTACTGTCCATTCCTGGACTTCAACATAGAGTCAGAGCTCAGGAAATTCGGGCTTCACAACGGCGGGCAACAAGATGATCATCTCTTGAATGAAAAATGGGAGAGTCTTTCATTGGTGCCCATTGACCAAGTGGATTCCAACAGGAATCCAGAATACTTCCTTTTCAGTTTCAGCGACAACGATTTTAAAACGCAAGACGGTATAGTTGGCCTTCACTTTGTCTTGTGTCTATTCATGCTAATCTTGTCCTTATTCAGGTTTCCAAAATTTTGGCCAGTTCCGCTTTTCTGACAAGTCTGGTTACAACATTGACACTCAGATCTTGGTGTTCCGTATTAGCTACGGTCAAGTTCGCGTCGCTGGAGGGCATTCGGAGTTATAATTTCAAGTAATATTTTGCTATAAGATTGTACCTACTTCCTGCTGATATGCACATATCGCCGACTGTAATCATAAACAATCAGAAGACATGCGGCTTTGGTGGCAATAATTTGAATCAGGCAGCACAGATAGGGTGGGCCAGGATTCTATGAATATTCTCCAAAAGGAGAAAAGACTGCGGCTATGTTCTGATGGCGTTATACTTAATGTTTTGTATTTCATTCATCCCTCTACCTAATTTCCTTAATCTCTCTCAGCAGCCTAGTAGTCCACCACCTCAGGAAACCTATGTGTCTTTAAGAGTAACGTCCTTGAGACAAAGTTATTTGACATTAATCGCGAACACCCGGCAGCTTGACGAGAGGCTTTAATTAAAAATTTTCGTCACTGAATCCTGCCACAAGCTTATCAATCACTTCCCGGGTCCTTGCTTGAAGAACGCACAGTTGGTGCTTAGTGAAATCTAAGCTTTTACAACGTCGCATTATGAGCAGCACCAATTTCTTCTGCTTGTAGTTCAGACATCTAGCTAGACAGCGTTGTACGAGTAGACTGCGCAGCAGATGGTGGTTGCCATCGACACAGGTCTCCAACGCATGGATTAGTGGCAATGAGTACTTCCTCTCGTCCAGGTCTTCGCAGAAGCCCTTCTGTTTAGAGTACTGGTTGCAAACGCATTCTACTTGGTAATCCAGTCCACAGAGAAAAAATCTAGTAGGAAAGAGAGGGATTGAAAGGCCAGTGGCAGATTCCACATTACTTTATTGGTGTGTCGCGTCGTCTATGCAAAAGTCAGTTCTCGTGGCCTGACCTTAGAATCTCTTTTCTTCGACAGACCTTACGGGAACAGTAAAACAGCACTGGCGGTCAGGAGCCAGGCAATGCATGTGCCGCCGTCTCGTCCTTCGCAGACTCTCGCGACTTATGACGAAATCCGTTATACCCGGGATCTTGAATTGATTCCGCTAGCAAGACTAATTCCTTATTAAAGAAACCTATGATAAAATGCTTCAACCATGATCATGTGAATAACAGTAAGCGGGAATAAAGGGCGCATATGTTTTGTTGACCTCAGAAATTCAATATGAGGAAACAATTCTGCGAGTCAAGTTTGGGCTCCACACGCAATCCAGGCAGTAATTGAATGCTAGTAGTCTGCTTAAAATACAGTTCTGATCTAGGTGTCACTGAATAACTCCCTAAGCACATCATGTGTGACTAAGGGGTCAGAAGACTCTACGGTCCTTTCTCTGTAACCTAGCGTCAAGGTTTATGACGTATAAAACATCAACGACAACCATGGCTATTTTTGTGTATCCTCTTTAGACTTGGATCCATGGTTGACATAGCTCTGCTAAGGTTAACATGGGTTTAGCCGCGCCTGGACCGTCGGCTACCAGATTTCTATTCGATTTAGAGAGGTGGCTCGTGCGAGCATGTCGAAGATCAACAAGCTTATTGTCATTAGACTTCGGCAAAATCAATTTGGGTCCCAGGTCTGGATACAAAAGTCTATCCTGCCTGCTTATCCCCCTATACTCTTTCACACTAATCACACCCCAGTGGCGTACATCGGGGTACCCTATGGCTAGATCTATGCTTAAGCTTATTTGTAATATGATAAATGGTGGCGAACTTAGCCCCTATTTGAACCTCTCGTAGCTAAAAAGGCAGTCTAGGCTCATCTGACAATGCCCACCGCACTAAATAGGACATCATCAGAAATCATCTATTAATGGATTATGATTGACTTAACGATGATGTAGATACTGTAATAATACTTTTCATATATGACAAGGGTCATAATGTTGATGTAGCATTACCCAAGGAACTATGTCTATAGGGTTGTTATTTGTACCCCGATTGTAACCATTTAGGGGTAAGTAACCAGGTAGCGTTACAATAGACTTATCACTAACTCATATTCTTGATATTCCAAAAGGAGGCGGAAGGGGTAAGTTGTAAAATGACAGGAAAGAATTGATAAAAAAAATTGTCACAGATTCCAGTCTGGCCACAGTATAAATTGCGCTTTTTGGAAGCAGTCAATCAATCACTTTTGGCTACATCGTGCAGCTTCGATATTGTTGTAAGAACTAAATTAGTTGCAGCCACATACCTCCACAAGTGAGCACTCGCACGGAGCATTTCAATAGCTGAAATTCAATACTTAAGCATCCGTAGGACTGGTGGTATTATGTACCAGTGCATTCACAGTTCTTGCATCGATCCCTGTGATTCTGTTCTTATCAGAAAGAATGAGGACTTTGCTCATAACATCATAGGTGGCCAGTTGACCTCTAGCCAAGGAGGGATCACTGAGGAGACAGCAGGCCACACCAGCGACATGAGGCGTAGCTAGTATAAGTTAGCTGACTGTATCTGATAAAAGCTATGCTATTCAAAGGAGTCTCCTACCCATGGATGTACCGCTGATAGTCTTAGTGCTGGTTGGGCCGCCTGTCCAGCAAGAGAGAATGTCCACACCAGGAGCTAGAATGTCCACAACTATATTAAGGTTAGAGTGCAGTTAAGCAAGGCAACGAGAAAAGAAGACCCAAGTACTAGTCGCGTACACTTTCCATAATCTGAGAACCTGGCAATTCGATCATTGATATCCGTAGCTCCAACAGTAATTGCAAGGGGTTCGCGTGCGGGGGACTCATTTATCTCCTATCAGGCCAAGTTAACTGGCTTGTGATCGCTTCGTTGCTCAGTTACTCACCTTCGCTCCGTTCCCAGCTGCAACGCAAACAACTACCCCTTTACGAACAGTTGAAGCAACAGCAGCATCGAGCGCTTCGCTAGGAGGTCCCCCCAGACTCATATTCACCACCGCACGGCCGCCTATACCTCTCGCAGAGACATCACTAACAACCCACTCAAGGGCCTTGATGATATCGCTTGTCTGGGCAGTTTCTGTCCGATCACCAAAGACCTTGACGCCTACAACGTTTGCCTTCTTCGCAACGCCATAGGCTCGACTGGCTATGGTTCCCGCACAATGGGTACCATGGCCGAGTACATCCTCATCATTGGAGATATCGCCGGACACAAACTTTGGGCCCTTTTTGGCCCTCCCCTCAAATTCAACATGTTTGTCATTGATACCAGTATCAATTACATATGCCACAGTGCCGCTGCCGGCGACATCATCTCGATAAGTGTAAGAATATGGAGGACCGCTGAGTTTGGCCCTCGTAGACACGCGGCTGATACCCCACGGTGAGTTTGGCTGGACATTGCAGTGGCGGTATAGCTGCTCAGGTTCAATAGACAAGACCTGCGAGATTGTTAGCGCCTCACAGACCATGTTTGCCATTGCTCGCTTACATGAGGTATCCTTTCCAACTCTTCTTTGGTTGTATCATCGAATTTTGCAGAGTATCCCTTTGAATCATCCAGGTCAAACTGCTGAAGAATATCCACGTTAAATGGAGTCGTGGGGTCTTCCGTTTTCTCCGCCAATAGGGACAGATGCTCCTTTTGTACTAGCTCAGGGGACAGATAGGGCTTGACACGAACGACCCAGCGACCCGGCACGGCAGTTTGTTCAGTAGTTAAGATCTGTTGAGTGGCCATGGTTGGGTAGCTGATACTAATTAAAAGAGTCAAGATTTAGTCTTCTTAACCTGTGTTACCAGACTAGAATCGAAATAGAGAAAGAATCTAGTCCCTGGGGATGGTGATAGACCAATATATAGACAGTAAAGACAACTGCGTGGCACCACACTTGATGGCTGATGACGCCTGAAAAAAAAGATGACGTTACCCCAAGATGAAGGGGCTAATATACTTGCCCACCTGGTTCTAGGCCCATAGTAATTCATTCGATATGCTCTGTAGATGTTTGTGGCTTCAGACCCAGAATGTTTCCCGCGCGTAAGAGTACTAAGGTTTCCCTCTAACTAGTTATTTAGTAATAGTTATTACGTAGAGAAAGTTGCATGACCAGTATATGCCTGGGGCTACATCTTCCAAGTTGAAGATATAACCAAGTGGTTGCGTGTCTTTGCTCTCATAAATCCACATCAGATGATACAAGTATACTGGTTCTATTTCCCAGACTCCTAAATACTCCACCAGCGTGTTCTAGACTTCTCTGTCCTACTATTACCAGAATCTGGAGGCAGGTGCATCATGAGACTAGGTGGTGAACAAGCTTGTACAAAGTTCAACTCTCTCCAAAGTCTACTGAGCTAAAATCTTTGGATCCAACCTTCCCTTCTAATTAAATTGTCTAGGTATTCTCTGAGCAGACAACTGTTTTGCCTTCTCACCGGGCCAATTACACAAACTTTTTTAACCCGAAATCCCTCCCTGCACTTTACGCTCTTGGTGGACTCCATGGCCACGAGTATGGCCTGCGCACCGATCCCAACGCTGGACTGTCGGCCGGTGAGTCAATCCTTCCTGGGGTTCTCACGTCAGAAGATGCAAGACAGGCTGCACTGTCCAAGACAGAGAGCAAGCTGTCGCCACCAGTAGTAAGTCTAACCTCGACCCGTTCCTAATAGGAAACATCGCTGCCATTGGGGTAGGGTCCGCCACAGCAGAAGAGTAAGTGAGCTGGCTGGTGCAGTTGATACGAAGCTACTAGGAGACAACCTCTAGAATTTGGAAGTCGTGCGAACAGTAACATATACAGTGCGTCCCCCGAATGCATAGAACAGTACTGGATCTGTTAATTGCTATATAGTTCATAAGCCACAGTGAAAGGGAGAATAGAATGCGCTGTTAAATCATTGATTGAGAATAGAGAGAATGTATTCATAAGAAAAATCTACTTAAGCATGCCATCCTTAGCTGGATGAAAGAGTAGAGCACAACCATTACTGATCAGTTAACAGATTCACACAGGCCAATCTACTTTTAGAACAATATGCTCCACTCTGATCTGAACTTCCAGTTACGTTCGGTAAGCTTAGATAAAGCTAAAGAATCAGGAGGCAAATCAATTTTAGACTCAGTTGGAACAGACTAAAGTTTTCAACCATAGGAGGAAACGCACATGGCCCATGCTTAACTACCATTGCTGCACCGCCTTCAAACAGCTCAATCTGAGGGCGAATCCAAAACTTGATTTTACTGTCATATAGATTTTCGGGAACCAGCTCAACCTTAGGATAGATAGCAGTCTACTGGTATTCAGGACTTATTAGACACTGCGGAGTTACGCTTAACAGAGTTGAAGTTATTGCGCTGCCTTACATAAGGTCATATGACCTTACTGAATCAATTGCAGCTGAGATGGCCGAATAAAATTCATAGATAGAGAAGTCCTATGCTGAATAAACTATCTCTTTATTTGCAGGGTTTATTGATTATCAGTTTTGACACGCCACAGTGACAAACTTAATATTCTTAATCGTTGCAGGCTTTTTAGATCAGATCCACAAATGGCGAGGATCAGGAGATCCTTATCTACATGAAATAGAGTTCTGCCAAACCTTGCCAAACCCTGCCGAACCTACCAAACATAATTGACCTTTCATATGTTATAGTACTCCGTATTCACAGCACTTATGCCTGTGTCCCAATCTATTTCTGCCATTGGTCACCAAAATCCGGCTTCAGCAATCCCCCATCTGGGCTAATTCGACGGTCAATACGTTCAAGTTACTGTTTGCGACAGAAGCCCTTTGGGATAACATCCTCAGCAGCCCAACCACTGGTCTGGAATCTAATTTCATGACATGAGATACCTCATCCGCCGTTGTCTCCACAACTGGCCCGAGGACAGCGTGGTTCGGAGCCTGCGGAATATCGTTGCGGCTATGGAGCCAGAGAAGCTACGTCTTCTTATTGAGGAGATCATCGTACCAGCAGAGAAAGCCGGTATTGAAGAAGGTTGGATGGATATGATCATGATGTCTCTAGGTGCCAAACAAAGGACAAACGCAACTATGGTTGAAATCGCCAAAGGCAATGCAGACATCCCCATCGTACCCCGGGAGCGCGGTGGCCCGCGCTTCTCGCGTCACGATCCAGTCATGGAGCTCGGGAGCACGAGATACGTAAGATGTCATAAATGATACACATTTACTATTCACCTTGCGTAGAAACGGGTTACAGTCGAATCGAGACCTTCATAGTCCGATGAATCGTCCACGGCCTGCGCTAGGCATGGAACAAGACCAGCCAGTTAGATCACAAGACATATAGACAGCAAGCCATTTTGAGGAAGCGTTTTGAGAGACTAGTATCCTGTCTTCCAACACGGTAGGTGGTCTTCCAGCCCATTGAAGCTTTTTTGGTTTATTTTCTCCCGGTATTCATGACCCATGTGTTAATAGTAAAACAGAACTTGCGAACTATTATCAATTGCGTATACAACATTTCAGACTTACCCCTTCCGTACCGAGTAAAATGCACTCAGAACCAGAATAGACTTTTAATCGCCTTCCCTATGGTTCCCTTCTTGCATGTTTAATGCGAGCATATCGGCGCAATCACAGTTGTGTATGAGTCTGCCAGACTGCTGTTATCGGATTTCCTTCCTCGTATAGAACAAGATTACGATCGTCCTGCAGAATGAGAAAGCAGTCTGTGTGATTATGACCAGGTAGGCTCGTACCAGTCCTCCAAATGGCTCGATTGTCGCGATCGTACTGGACGATACTGCGGTCGTCTTGGGCGACAATGCGGTAGGGAGGCTTTCCCATCCCATCGGTGGAGCTTTTCCATGCCACACTATTTCCTGGTCCATAGAGCACGACATTACCGTCTCCTTGGCAAATGAAGCGGTACAGGGCGTTCTCTGACTGGAGGAAATCACCTTCAGCTATTGTTTCATTTTTGGTATATATACGCGGACCGATATTGCGCCGAAGGACCGTAGGACGACCAAATGGCCCATAGATTTCGTATAGACCACCCATGTCATCGGTAGTGAGATCTCCGACACCGTTGTAAGATGGCCACATAACGGACTTTTCGATTGTTGAATGTTTCAAGCCCAGAGAATGGCCAATCTCATGAAGAGCGACATGCGTAAGGCTATCGACTGTCCAATCCTCATCCTCATCAAAGTGGACGTCCCCGGCCAAGTCCCCTGCATTGGGAGGGGGATAGAATGCATGGGCGAGAATGTTAGAAAAAGCGGTTCCCACTCCATCGAATGGGCTGCCATCATGATGATCCCTCTTGTACCAACCAATGCGGATATGGGCGGCCTGATCACGGCTCACCTCTGTAAATGTGAACGCCGAGATAGCACTCCATTTGGCAAAAGCATTTGATATAGCCGTTCTGATTTGTTCTTCATTGAGCTCCTGGCAAAAAGTGTCAAAGCAGTATTTTAGGCTAAATTCGTTCCACTTAGTACCCGCCACCGTGAAGTTTGCTAACCCGAGACCGTCGGGTACGCCGCATCGAGGTTTTTCCATATGCGCGGCTGTCTCCTTATCAAAGACCCCAGATGTAGGCAAATTAGACACTCTTTGATATTCCTTCAAAGCTGAGTTGAGTTCGCTGATTTCTGGTGTCGTTTCACGTGGAAGATACTCAAAGAGCTGGAGAAACATCGTCGTTTTCTCCAGTGCTTGACTATTCTTGAAGTCTTCGTCGGGAGCTGATGCTCCTCGGCTGGGCAGTTTCTGTGCCATCTTTAATAGCAGTCTGCGATTCCTGCTGACGTTCGAATTCTAGTAATTCAATAATTAGGAACCAAGAATGCAATCAGGGACTTCTCACTTCCTAAACGATAGCCACGAAGACTAAATACTCAATTAATGACAGCGTTGGCGTTCTGAATGCGCGAGCCAGAAACATTGGGGCGGATGGGGCGACCTATGATCGCTCTATCGCTTCGTAGAGTTTTGGTCTTCAACTGCGTTCCACAAAATGGCTGAGTCTGGACAAATTTTTATACTCAAAAGTTTCATAGTTTGTAGCGAGTATTCCCACCCTCGTTCCAACTGCTCAGTGTCTAGAATCTCAGAATCCGCCACCGGTTTTGCGTCTGGCTTGTCTACGAACGTAAAACGCTGCATTTCATAAGAGGCTTGAAGTCTCCGAATCTTTCTAGTTGAATATCTTTTCCTGTAACAGTACTAGCGAATTCGCGTGAGTGGCGGGCGTGCTGGATAGCAAAGAATGACAGTGCTGCTGCGTGCTAGTTTCCATGTTATCCAGAATATAATATATTATATAACTTCTGAGGCATTATCAAGGTGTGCAGAACGCAGCCCGTGAAGCGTCCTAGACATATGAAATGAGCCAAACTTGATCAAGATTAATAAGGAGCACTGGTCCACATGAAACTCAGCAATATTGTGACTAATTCTGTACATCTGCATTAAGGTTCACAGGTTTCATGGTCAGACTCGTTCCAGTCCTTCGGCCACTCCTCCATGGCTGTGTTGTTGTTTCTTCCAAATTCAATGCCATCCCAACCGCCTTGTGGTTCTCAATGAGGTGCTAAGTCTGGTTCGATTTGGTAGAGAGAAAATAAAATAAAAATAAAGTCGTTACCCACAAGGCATTTAGCAACCGAATACAATTAACTAGTAAATTACTTTCATTTTGGCCTAAAGGATGATCCTTTTCAGTTCCCATATATTCGCCCGCACCGTTGATAGCATATCAGAGCAACCTCTAGACCTTGTCGTTAAAGAGGCGAGATTAGGTGTTCCTACCAGTATACGTATGATTTGCATCGTCCTTCTGCACGAAGACGTAGCTTCCCCATCATCTACCTCAATCAGTGAGACATTAGACCAGAAAAGGCGTCGTCATTACTTGCCTGGTCCAAGGTTCACGAGTCTGTACCACAAGATACAAGGCAAAAACATCTTCACAATCTCCAACAACGCCCTTCTGGATTCAATATTATGTTTTGTACCTTGTTAAGAAACCTGTGAGGTTCTGCTGGAGAGTGAGCTGTTTTATGTGTCTAGTATTAACACTGTGGATATAATCTGCGCTGAAGATAGTGTACCCACCATGGCGCAGTACTGGATTGTTTGTCTTGTTTGCAACCCTTATTGTCCACCCAACTGTCCAAACTCCAGATAATCGAACAAGGTTGACCTCTTCAGTGTTGGTGTAGTCTTGTTTAATATCGCTTGTTGGTTTCTGTCATACATCTCAAACTTTGAATGCATAAATCTATTGGATAGCTGAGAACCGTTGAGGATTTACTATAGCCCACTCAGATGATGGCATCCATCCGCAATTTAATCCGCTCTAGAAGCGAATTGACAAACTCCTCTCTGAAGGCACCTTCTTCATGACAAACATGAATGGTAGTTGGACCATCTTGAACACCTGCCACATTGAAAATCAAGTTGGCTGCGTACCCGCCTTTGACAGCACCCGCGGAGAACTCCATATTGGTGATGGTCCAATTTCCGCTGTGCGTGTCCTGGCCGACCGATACACTCGGGCGAAAAGCACCTAGGTTGGAGATAGAGAAAGAATTACGCTGGAAAAGTTTCAACCCCGGTAAAAAGCGGGCAATATAGTCTTCTTCATCTTCCCCTATAAGCTCGATAGACTGCCAAGCTCTCAAGAACGTCTTTTTGTGATTGAGATCGTTGATGACATGCGCTCGATGCTTGCGCGCTAGCTCCCAGAAGAGACTTGATTCAAGCGATGTGTGCTCTTTCAGAGCTGTTTGCTGTCCTGCCTGTCGGAACTTGGAAAGCCAGTCGTAGCTCGACACGACAGAAGCCGCATTGCCCACGGTCTGTTCCCTATCGTGGGGTTTCAAAAATGGTCGGAGATCAACAACTACCTGCGAGTGACAGAATTTGGCTTCAGGATAGAAATCCGCTGCTAATGTCACTTTGATAAGGGTGTGCAGGAGGCTGGTAAAAGATGTTTGGTGGGATCGACAGGCCTGAATGCACTTTTTCATCGTAGCGGCATCGAGGCGAAGAGTGTGAAGTCGCGTCTTGACGAGGTTATCCTCTTTCTGCGGGTTGTTGAAGTCCAGCTTACGAAATTTGGGGGTGGTTTCGTGAAAGAAGAGGTCCTTTTGCCGGTATAACAGCCAGATGCCCCAGAAACGAAGATAGTTCAAGACGGCGTACAGGACGGAAACCGGAACGGGGGCCCGCTTAATTGCATCTTCCTCGGGGAAACCCTTGACGTCTGTTGAAATCTCGACGATTGAAGAGTTGACAAATTCTTCTATGGGGGAGTTAAGGGCTTCCAGGATACTCTCCAATATGTATGTACCGCCGCGCCCATCGGTGATGTAGTGATCGTAAACGAACAGTATATGTCTTCCGTTAACAATCACCAGCTGCCATGCAGGTCTTATCGATGGCTCAAACCAAAGGCCATGATAATTCTCAATGGTCGCAGTCAATCCTTTTCCTTCCTCCTCTGCTGGAATATTGATGAACTTCACATGGGCATCCAGGTTGATCTGCCGCAGGAAAGCCGACCATCGCCGATGTTGCCCAGACTTTGTTTCTGAAGGCCGACAGAAAGTAGTTATCCCAAGCTCAGGGTATTTTCGAACAACGTGTTGCAGGGCGGCGTATATGAGTTCTTTGGAAAGCACGATGCTTCCAGCCTTTGTATTGGTGAAGGTGGCAACAATGATCACATTGGCTTGCATACCGAAATGATTCAAGAGAGCGAATTGTCTCTGATATCGGCCTATTGTGTTGTCAGTGAGCCCAACTGGTCAGAGAATCGCCTGCCTTACAAGCGGGTCGTTCGAGTATAGCCCCAGGCTTGGCATTCAGTGGCTCCCAATCCACGGTTGCTGTTTTTGGCATTATGAGAAAAGACGAGTCAACAGCTTCAAGCAGCTATGCAAGGATCTCAAATGATTCTTGTGCTGGGAGAAAACCAAGCCATTATTTCTGATTGCGGACATTATAACTCTCAGGCGGTGTCAGCTCATGTCCATTCGGGACTAGTGCTGACTCTTGCTGCTGATACTTATGGACGGCTGGTCGTGCGTCATTTGACTTGTCTCCTAAGTTGATGGGGGCCCAATCAAAGTAGATTCAACGTACCCGTATGATTGCCGTTTCGGGTTTGGCTCTAATACAGTAGTAGATGTCAAATTTCCTACACAATGTGCATATATATATATTCAGTCTACTACCTCTTTTGACAGGAGAAGACACAGGAAGTTGCAAACCACTCAAGACCAAAACCAGACTAGCTCTTACTATATTAGAATTAGTGCAATACTAGCGGCACACTTTAATTAGGCACATCGAAATTCTGTCGCACGGAGGCCCGTGCCGAAAACGGGAGTTTACTGTAACATATTCTTCTCCTTTGTATACGATGCGTTACCGTCGAATTTCTTATATACCAGAAACAATTTAAAACAACTCAGATAGCTTGATAGTTAATACTATAGATAAGCTGATTATAAAGGTGAATCTGCCTAGAGAATTTACGAGTTCTCTTAGGTCGACGTCCCTGGAGGATTGTGTCAGCCGACGAACCGTCTTCCAGGTGAGTCAGTTGGTCGGTAGTTGTATCCTTCATGATGGGTTCGTCGCAGAGCCCAGATTCCATTGGAAGATGCGCCGTACTAGAGGGGTAGTTTTGAACCTCGTCGTCTTGTGGGTTGGGAATCAGAGCTGGAGATCAGCATTCGAGGTCTCTTTATTGGAGTCATTGGGTTGGCACGGCTGTTCCATCTATCTGCTTGCTTCTGCCTTCCCACGGACGAAGTAGGAGTCACCGGTGCTGTCATAATGGAGCCCAAATTTGGAATAAAATAAACATCCTCCACGCCAATTGCGAGTCGAGGTGTGTTGGTAGTGATGCCGAAGATTCTCCTAGTGATAAATATGCGGGACTGTCTAGCAAGAAGCGGAAAATTGTCCAACGGTTGCCATTCTTGAAGTAAAAGGAAACTGTAAATGCCACAGACGCCTTATTAGAGGGATCATAGACATTGGTCTCCAGGTCGTAATGCAACAGAGCAGATCCGTTATTTAACTGTCCTTCTCCACTTCGGACTATTCCCAGTAAGCTGACTGTGAGGAGAGCGGCCTCCGTGCAGTGCATATTATATGCATGAGAATCGGAATGGTCGCCCGGGTGATTAAGGAGACCTTTAGCAGTGGGGAAATTAGCATGGCTTTAGGATTCGTATATTGCCAGTCAACTTCATGGGCGTGTAAAATAAGACATAGAGCCCCATTTGGGTTTACCGAACTTAAGAATGAGCCCAAGCGTAGATGAATTTGTTTGGTCCGTAGGACTGAGGATTGCCCGGCGAGGCGAAGAAATGTATAGTAGTCGGAAGCTCATTCAACTCAACGCCGTCCGAGTAGAGGTTGGTTTGAAAAGGAAGATGTAAAGAAGCCTCAATTTTCAGAGCAAGACCCTGGTCCGGTCGAGACGGGTCAGGTCCCACGCTGTCTATAAAATTTCTTAAGTGGAGAATAGCTGGGGAGTTGATCTGAGAGGGCATATGAACGCCAAATTTGAAACAGCCGGTGTCAACGAAAATTAGAGGTCTCGGGGTACTGCGGCGGTTCAGTATAAGATATTCCTAGGTAGACATACTAGGCAAGAAAGGCATGTGGAGAAGAATCGCAGCGGTTGTTATCATAGATATATTTAGTGGACATAGGGAATTGACTAAGCTTTAAGTTATACTTATTCAGGTAGAACTGCGAAAGTGGTAAACTTTACCGGACTGAAATGGTTTTAAGACGCGAAAGTGGAAGGGAGTCATGATCAATAAATTTAACCACTACAACGAACCAGGTCGACACAAGGACTTCAAGAGGCTCTTAAATATCATATATACGAGGGATCATTAATTAGAAGCTAACAAAACTTACCCCTATAAGCGAAGATTGTTAAGCGAAGGTAGCAGACATACACTCTTAATGTATATGATATAATGTTGAGGGCCTAGATAGTGAAGCTAGCATACTTCCTTTAAGAGGTAATAACGACGTTGGGTATAGCAGCATTAGCAACAGCTACGGCTAGACAGGCCGTAGCGTGGGTAAGGTTGCGGAAGACGGCAGCCTGAATCCGATAGGGGAGATTTAGGTCATACAGTTTGAAATGCTAAACCTGTGTATTACTCTAAAAATACCCTAGCCTAAGTAGTAGTCCAAAATATGTAAAGGATCGGAATTTGTAGGTAAAACTTGAAAATCTAGTGAAGTTAAAGCACAGAAACCAATCATCGTGGATTGGATAAGTTTGGTCATAATTTGGTGGTCTAAGATAGGATTGGATAAGCATAGATGCGAGATAATGAAATTCTATTATCATAGAAGAGTGCCCGTTATATGTCAGAAGTTTCCCGCCAAGCAGTAATTGTCTCTTTTTCGCGTTCTTGAAGTCTTTCCATTTCAATTAGCAGTCGAGGATCGGGTCCGAATTGGAGGTCGTGCATATCGAGTTTCTGTAGGAGATGAAGTCCGTTAGAGGATCGAAGGCGGGATAGCTGTACATACGTCGAGCAATACTTCCGGTGATGATCTTGGCCCCGAATAGTAGGGTCGTCTTTGAGGTCGAGGATTGCAGCTGAAAGTGTTGAGCCTTGCACTTTGTAATCGGTGAGGCAGGAGGCTGGGCACATAGGGAGCTGCTTCCTTCGGACCGAATAGCCTTTGATGGTGATCGATCGTTCCAATGGAAAGATTGGCATAGCCGAGGGCTCAAGGCCTTGAAATACGGTTGCCTTGGATCTGTTTGTTCCAAATATAACGCAAGACGGTGGTTTAGTGCACATGATGTAGAGGTTGTCGATCTGAAAGAATTCGGCTAGTGATAACGTATGAGGTGGTTATGTTCCTTATTGTTTCTAAGGAAGGATGAACCTACCTGTGGGATCTACCACGATGCCTATCGCAATCCCCGTTGCCCCATTGACTAGGCCCAGAGGGGTGCAAATATTGGTCAGTATGACGGCTGGCATATTGCGGGTGTATAGGAAGAGTCCTGGGAAAGGGATCTTGGTGCCTTGGTCTGGCTGCTGGAGTAAGTCGTCTGCATGGAGTCGTAGGTTCGTTGAGGCAGTGGACTTGGTACGCTTATGAGGCGCGGGGAAGATATATATGTTCTGCCATCGGGTCCGGGCAAACTCTGTTAATCGAACGCGGTTGACCTGATGTCGCGGAGAGTTCAACTTAACCACGGTGGTGACACCCTCTAATTGAGGGCTTACTAGGGTCGTGACGGTTTTGCTATTAAGAAATGATCGATCGGTTTCCGTTAAAGTCCCCGCCCTGGCTCGTGATAGCAAATCGCGGAATGCAGTGTCTTCTTCTGCGTGCCTCATTTGCTCATCCAGAATGATCACCTCTTTGAATTGATGCGAGAGTAGACGACCATTTTCATCCTCATATATGCCTCTTCTTGGCTCCCTCCATAGTGCCGGGCCCAGTAGGTGGAAATTGGAAGAGGTCACCAATAAAGATGACAACAGGAAGGCCACCGAAAAGGTCAGGAGAGGATCTGTCGAGGGCTTTGACGATTTTGCATTGATTATCAATCACGCTGATCATGCGCAGATCCATCATGCTGACTTCGTCCACGATCATGATAGTCTTACGGAACCAAAGCCGTCTCACTTTGGATCTCATTCCGGTTTCACGCGAACGGTCAATAGATATTCCTAAGGATGTATGGTACGGTACGTATTGCCGCCGATAACAACGAGGCCGCACCCGTCAGCGCCATGAGGACTACCTCATCTTTTCGTCCGATAAGTTTCATACCAGCGACAATTGCCTTGACAATTTGGCTTTTGCCCGTGCCGCCTTCTCCTCCAACATAGAGGAGAGTCTGATTGCGCCGCGACCAATCATAGGGGTGGTCCGCCCAGGTCAAAGCTTCAGACAGCACTTTCTCTACTACCATTCGTTGTTTCCGATTTAGAGGAATGTCTTGGTTGACCAAGAACGCAAGAGAGGCGCCAGGAGGATTCAGGACCTCGTGTAATTGGAGATCATCCATCGCAGGGATTGTGTCTGAATTAGCTAGCATAGGATGCAGAATGCCATCTTCGGTGTGGATGTCAAAATCGTCAAATGCAAACCAGAAGTGCCGGCATCATCATCCGTGGTCTCTTCAGAACTAGGATTGACGCAACTTTTAAGTATACTTCTAGTTTAAACGTATGCCAGTTTATGTATATAGTCATGAATATCATTACTAAATAAACAGTAGAGTAGATATTTAATATCCTTAACGGTATGTTAGAATGGCATACTTACTAGTTAGCTAGTTTATATAAACTAAGGAGAACTATATTAGCATTAAGTGTGCAGGTGTATTTAGGTTATATATATTAAGAATATTCCTTCTTTACTTTCATCAGAAGTTTCCTGGATGTCTTATACTCTTAAGGTAAAGTTAGTAAGGATATAGCATGCTATCTTCTGTAGGGGTAAATACTTTTAAATAGAAATATAAAATTCTATAAAAAGCTTTAGAATTTATAGAGAGGAATCTAGTTTATCCTTAAAGAAGTTTTTTATTCTGCTCTCTTTTTAAGAAAGTCTCTTTCTAAAGAATAGTTAAGAGTAACCTCTATAGACTTAACAGAAGTAGATACTTATAAAGCCTACTGGATACTACTTAATTACATTTTTTATAAATTACTAGTGCTAGCCTAGGGAAACTTATAATATTTTCTTTTCTTTCTTACTTACTTTAATAGTTAAGAGTAAAGCTTTATAACTCTATAAGTTAGAGTTACTGTTCTAGTAATTTTTATAACTTAGTATCTTCTAGAGCTATAGTTATATAATATTATATGTAATCACAAAGGGGAAGCTGAAGAGGATTAATCTTTTATAGAGTTAATAATATATAAGTTTATCTTTTTAACCTACAGGGTATATAGCCTATTTCAAGCAGCTAAATCACTATTTTCTCTGATAGTTAGCTACTAATTTTACCTTCATTACCCCCCTAGAGAGCCATTATTACCAGGGGGTGATAGGACCTGTAGAGTCCTTATCTATATTACTAGCACTTATACTAAGAGCACCATGCTGCTGCTTTAGAGGTAAAAGGGCTTTCTATAGGTTGACCATATTCTATACTAGGCTTAAGTATAGCTAAGTGGATGGGAAGCCCTGTTTTCTACACCCCATGGTCGTATGTGCTAGGTTTAAAGAAAGAGAGGATCTTTTGATTTGTAAGACTGCACATTTTCCTCCCTATTCAGCTCTCATGTACCTAATCTGCAGGCGTATATAGCAAGGGCAATGTTGCCGATGGATGGGGCCATGGAGCCCAACCAACCCATACACGTTCTAAATGTGGATACTGGCCGTGTCACTGTTACGATTGTAGAGACGAAGGCCAAAGCTCATCTCAACTCATGTGCAGAAAAGGTGGCGTATCGGTCCTGACATATCATTTGCAGAGGCTGTTGAAAGCAGATCTCGGAGATCAAGTAGATCGTACTGAATAGTGGGTCACTCTGGCTGAAGTTTTTCAGGTCCTGCAGAAGCTGGGACTGTGTCTTCTTGCCACGGACCATGCTTCCTCTTTCAGCTTGAAGCGCGAAATTCAGAGTATAAAACGCTGAACCTGGAGTAAGAGCCATGGAACACCAGCTTTATCTATTCATTTAAAATGACTCGAACAGTTCCGACCCTACAATCCCATGTCGATTTTCGGCAGTCAATCAAAGGACAAACAGCCAGGCTGCCCAACTTCTACGCTCTTTTCCCTGAGTGGAAACCTCGACTTCATCCTGAATATGACCGTGCTCGTGACGAAGTGCTTAATCCGTGGATTGAACGGTAAGTGCTCTGATTTCAGCGTCTGCTGCCGACATTACTAAGGTTGCAAAGCTGGGTCCCTGATGCAGACACAAGCCGCAAATTCCAAAAAGCGGATTTTGGCCGTTTCGCTGCCATCATGTTTGCGGATGCGTCTTTTGAGAAGATGTGCACTGTAGCCAAGGCGTTTACATGGGTTCGTTGCCTCTATTGTCTGACGAATGCCCTGAATAGTCTGCTGACCCAAAATAGTACTTTATCTGGGATGATTGTATGCTTTCAGCAGATCGGATCCCAGGGGAAAAGACTAATTGACCACTCTACCTAGTATTTGACTGTGGTAGCCTGACGCATGAGAAAATGGCTATCCCAGAATACCGGGACAAGTCTATGCAATACTTCCATGCAGTTCTTTCCAGCAAAAAGGATCCACCGGACCTATCAGGGTGCTCAGACGAGCTGCAAAAGGCACTGTTATGCTGGGATGAGGTGGCGGCCCACATTCGAGAGGTTTGTTCAAAGGGTATTCTTCACCTTCATTTATCTTCTGTCTATTGACTAATCTTGTTGAGAAACCTGCGAGGTTCTACTGGAGAGTAAGCTGTTTTACGTATCTAGCGTTGACACTGTGGATACGATCTGCGCTGAAGACTGTGTACCCACCGTGGCGCAATACTGGATGCGTCGAGAACGCACCGCCGGAGTGTACCCCGTCATAGCTACTATTCCGTGCGCAGATCCCGCCAGTAACCATGACTTTGGACTCACACTAACGAGTAGTAGGTTCATTTATGGGGTCGACGTCAGCAAGCAAGAGCTTGCCGGTGAGCTGATGGGACTGCTGTGGAGACATACCTCTTATTTGGTACACATGTGAGTTTCTCTAGTTCAGTTACCAGCGACAATCTGCTGATCACGATTGCAGGATCAATGACATGTTCTCCCTCAGAAAGGAAATTGTACGTATCATTTGACAATTAAACTCCACGTTCTGACACAGACATGCAGGGTGACAATCAGATCGAGAACCTAGTTCCGATCCTGATGCTCAATCACAACATCGACTGCAGCACCGCAGTGGAGCGCTCGAGCTTGCTTGTCCAGCAGGCGGCCTGCGCCTTTCACGAGGTGGAGAAACGTCTACGCGGACTGTCTCTGGAGTCACCCAATCCTGTTACCGAAATGTTCCTGCAAGGGTGCAAGGATGTTGTTATGGGATTGACTCATTGGAGGTATTTTCCCTCTTGCATCTCACTTGCCAGCCTCGGCTAGGCGGACTTCTTCGCTTGGTCTGTTCGTTCTTGCCGTGAGATTGAGACTGACAGGAACAGTTACACTGGACAACGGTACTTCAAGCAATCAGAAATCGGTGTCGACCACGTGATTGAGGTTCAACTCTGAGAAGGACAGTTATACACAGACAGCAGCTTCCTCAGCTCTTCAGGCATGATGCAGGACGGAGGATTCTGGTGGGCGGTGTAAGGTTACAATCGGATAGACCCTGTCTAGAGCGTTTCAATTTTGATTTGTCGGTGGCAAGGATTAAATGTGGCCAGTATCAGTTGCATGAGACCCGAATCTGCCCGATCGATCGATTCATCATGCAGGTCATCTGCAAGCTAGTCTATGGCTAAGCTGAAGAATGGGTCCAACACTAATGTGATGCACGTAATTCTCTGATTTCTCCTCACCGCTACTTCCAAGGGCCCTCTGATCTCTAGTTCCAGACATGCATGTCCCCACCAATTCATTCAGCCTCTAAGAAAGTCATAGTGCGCTCAGTTTCCCTGCATCAGCTCTAACGTAAGAAATCTCTTGAGACCTCAGCACTCTCCTTCTTAGCCAATCGCTTAGCGAGACGGGCCAGACTTAGATCTGTGAATGGTGGCATTCAGATTAGGTGCATATTCATGCATTAGAATGAGAATAGTCCTTGCACGTCTTGCCACCCTCTTCTCAGGGGTGTTTGTAAATCACCAGTTATTTCGTATCTACACTGCGTACTCACATGTGAGCATTCCAAGTGATAATAGCATGGGCTACGTGTGATTGCAGTGCTGATCATTAAGCTGGGCTAATAAACTAATTAATTATGTTGGAAGTAGCATGCGGTTGATTTTTAGAGGTGTAGGTGCACTTAATAACAACTCACTGCAGTTTTTCAGATCACTCATGTTGAAGATCAGGAAATATGGCAGAATATTGATCAAACTCGCCTCTATCATCAGGACGGAAGATTAGGTTTTCTAGGAACGGCATACATTCCACGTAGCCCTCCTTACGTCCAGTAAACGTACATTACACCCCAACACAGTAGGAATAACCCAACCACAACCCCGAGCAATCCTCCCCAACAGCCAGATTCCAGCTTACAAAGTCGTCCGCTCTGACCCCATACGCCTGCTCGATCGACCAGCAAGAGTCGCCCTCGACGGCAGTGTAGTAGGTCTTGCAGGTGGAGATGATGCCCGTTTCGGTCGGAACTGCGCCGGTGGTGGCCGTTGAGGACGCCGGTGTCGTGGTGCTGGTAAAGGTTGTCGGCCCAGCAACACAGTACGTGTTTCGATCTGCGGGTATTCGCAATTCGACCCGATGCCAGGGTTCCAGCAGTAGAATTGAGCAAAGGTGATGCAGAACTCGGACTCGATTGCTGCGCAAAAATCAGTATAATTGGCACACATGGGATGCCACCGACAGCCTCAACGCAATATGCTATGCCTAGCATGAGGTCCGTGCAGTTGGCGTCAATTTCCGGGTGGAGAAAGTAGAAGTCGTTGAGGGAAATGCCCATCTAAATAGAAACAGATGCACACTAATCCCCATCTTGGATAGTATAGTATTTCCAGAGTCACTGTCAGTTCCTTGAGCAACATTCGTGGGCACTGGCGCAGCTATCGTTGCCGTGGATGGGCTGGCACTGTTAGAGTTATTCAACCAACCGCCAGTAAGGGTGGACTCGTCAGTTAGCTTCTTATTTGTTTGTACAATCTGGTGTATCTTACCTGACGCATATAACTGTGCTGTCCAAACTGTCCATGTTTCCACAGAGGAGATTCATATTAGGATTCCAGTCTGGAGCTGAATGACCGTGATTTCTTCGGAGACGGTCCGGATGATAGATGTACGGGTATCATTTGGTTGGACAGTGTAGATATCGCATCTCTGGGGAATGCACACCATCGTGCCCATGGTGAGGTCGGAGCAATAGATATCTAAGTTGTTGTTGTACGCGAGGTAGATGTAGAAACATTGTGAGCGATTGCAACCGATTGACAAGCGTCTCCATCCATCACTGTGTAGGTGTCCGTACATGTTGCTGTCATGGTCGGCGCGCCAGTCCCTGTTGTCGTGGGCGTTGCGGTCGTGGCAGTCGCATTCAAGGCCTATGCGGTTGGTGAAGTAAAGGGATAGTTGGATGCGAAGCTCTCAGCGAGATCGTCGTCATGCCAGATGGGCGAGCTCAGTTCCACTTGTTGCATGCCGAGCATGCAGTCCCAGCAGGTCTGCTCCGAGCCTCATCCGTAAGGGTAGTCCATGACTGGACCAGGATATCACAGAATTCTTGGTCGTACTAAGACCTACGGTTAGTTCTATGGCACTTATGGTCAATGGAGACCGGAAACATGCACGGATCAGTCAGACATGAAATACTGTACGTGTAAATGAGATGGTCAATGACCCAATTTGCTTGGTATGCACTGCCACTATCCGCAATCACATCCTCTGCAGCAGCGAGGTAGTCATTACTACAATATCTGTTATGATTCCGATCTGATATGCTCACTGACGCCTCAGCTGGGCTGGCCTTATGGATGCATTGGCCAGGACGGAAGTGCACTCCACAGTTGTATTGAGTGCCGCTATACAGGCAGAGGCTAGCCCTGTGAAAATATATATCGTCTTTCTGCTATATAATTCTAGTACAGAAAAATAAGTAGCCGACGCCCTAACCGCCACCCACTTCCGCAGCAAATAAAACGAGAAGAAAAAGCCAATCATCTCAGTATCTACCAAGTAGGCCCAGAAGTCATGCTAGTCTATCAGACATTGTCTGCTGGTTGCAGCTTTTGTTCTTGTACGAGCGGTAATAAACGGTGTTTTAAGCTAATATGGTTTTATTCGCCTGTGGGCCTGGTGCAAACCTCAGTGACATATTTAGCATTGGTCTAAGCTACCTACCTTAGGGCTTGGCAGGGGAACGGCTGTTCTGATTGGCGACTGAACTTCGGCCCAATAAATCCCGGAAAACCCCCAGTTCAAGTTTGTTTCTCTTCTGATAACTTACATTGGACTGCGCAACCAAATAGGCGACGAATGACGATTACCTCGCACCATTACATCATATCATATCGCCAATCATCCAGCCTTGCCTCATCAAAGCAAGCATCTTATCCTCTTCTCTCTCTCAGTCTCTTTGGAATGTCTTACGAAAGAACAGACGCAACCTGCATCCGCGAAGAACTAACCAAAACCGGCGCCCAGAGCTGGGGCTTCTTCATCTACCGCACCTGCTCTTACCATGATGAGTCACAATGGGAGCAATTCCTCTCGCGCATGAAAGGCTTCGCGGAGAAAAATCATCTCAGTGCGCGGGAACGCGGTCGCGACGGAGAGGCAATTCTTCCCCAGCTTGAGTGGAACGTGCAGCAGCACCCTGCGCTGGAGAATTGCTCCAAGGAGGAGATCTGGCGGTATGCCTTCATAAGTTCTAATCTATGCTATGGCTAACGTGCTGTAGACGGCATCGGGGGCTGATGAGAGATCTGTATGGGGAGTACCAACCGGGAGACATCCGGCATGGGTATCCGATTGTGGTGGATCGGGAAGCGCTGGAGTCGGTTCTGAGGGGTCCGGCGCCAAGTGAATGGAGGGCCGCTGATTATCGGACTTCTACTGCGTGTGTTATTGTGTTGAATATGAGCTGGTTTGATCAGATGGAGGAGAGGAGACTTCGTCGGGAGGACAGGGGCCGACGTAGTGGGGATGTGCCTAATGAGGAAGCGGACGAGGATGATGGGCTGGATGAGATTGTTGGTTGGAAAAAGGTGTTGGTGGTCAAGGTGCATCCCAGACTCTATTCGTTTTTGCTGACTCCGCTGTGGCATATCATGTATGCTGAACCCCCTGAGATTGAGCGTTTGCCTTGACTTATGTTCGTGTCTATCGATAATTGAAGCGCAGGATGCAGGTATGATCGAATTTACAATGCTTTGTCTGACAACCCCTAAGCCTGCGGCCTGCCAAAGTCCTGATCCTTCAACGCATTACCAGTCTTTTATGGGTATAATTTTGATTGTCATATCTATATTTCGTAGATGTCCGCAGTATTGACTCACCATTGCATGGGATGCAAGCTGACGATTTTAGTGTATATTAGGGAGCTTCTCTTGGTTAGGTTGTGATTCATATACAGTGTCTTCTCCGCAATCTCCGGCAAAGCCCTTGTCTTATCCACGGCATAGCGTCGCTGGTCACATGGATGCATCCTAAATGATTGACTCAACCTAAGACAATGATTCCTAGAAATCAGTCAACTGGATATCCAACTACAGAAGGACAACACCTGGCCTCACTGCAGTCAGTTGCGGTAGAAGACCAAAAAGTTTACAAACTAAGAACGTATGAGTCGACGAGCAAACTTCTAGCTAAAACAAAACCAGTACAGGTTTACCGGTATATTGAAGACCAATTGCAGTCCCGAGAGGTACTGTTTCACAAAGGACGTGAATGATGGCCAAGACGTACATTTAATGCCCCCGCAAGGATGGAAGACTCAGTAGCACCCCCTCACGGACATCACGAATGATCGCCGCAGCATCCTTTATTTCGTGGATCAACCCGATGGAAGCTCCTGCATAGGTGGCAAGCCGTCCCTCCGGTCCCCAACCACTATCACCGGCCTTAAGAGCTTCATCATGCAGCTTCTTCAGTTCTTCAAAGGGCCTACCCGCCTGGTACTCGATAAAAGACTTGTTAATGATAGTACGCGGACTATACTCTTCTGGCCATCCTTTGGTGCCGCGGAGTTTGTTATAAAGCAATGTTCGTGCGGTCGTAACCGCGCCGTCCCTGGCTCGCACGATTTCACGTTGATACCCGGGGTTAATGCGCGCTTCATGGGATACGAGAAAGCGCGTCCCCATCACCACGCCGGAGGCACCCAGGCACATTGCCGCCAACACTCCCCGCGCATCAGCGATCCCTCCAGCGGCAAAAAGCGGGATCTGGCTTCCTGCGAGTGCATCGGCCACCTCTGGGAAGAGCGATAATAGTCCAAGTCCATCCTTGGCGCGGCCGTGGCCTCCAGCGTCCGTCCCTTGAATAACAATCACATCTGGCCGCACGGAACTCTGGACAAGCTCCTTCGCTTCCGCCAGGGTTCCTATTTGAATCCAGATTTGGATACGTGGTGAGGCGCTGCGGATTCGAAGAGACCAAGCATCGAAATCTCTCTGACCATTTCGCGGGGCGTAGAGCCAAGCAGCACAAGGCCTGAATTTCTCAACTGCTGCTACCGCAACCTCCAGGTTATCACTCCAGAGTTGGAAACCCACGCCGACGGGAAGCGGACACTCGGCGGGCAACAGGGCATGGAAATTAGATGAAGATGTCCGCAGTTTCCCGACTAGTGCCGTCGCCTCTTCCAGATCCGCCAGCATATCCCGCGTTTTAACGCCCGGTCCTATAAACCCCAACCCGCCAGCGCGAGAAACTGCGACTGCCAACGCCGGACCGGACATGACGCGCATCGGAGCGCTTACAATAAATGGGCTCAACACCCATGGATAGAGCAGGGAGAGTTTCTTCGTGACTTCAGAAACCCCTGGCATTTCAAGGTGTACTCGGTACCGACGGGAAAGGGAAATTAACGGCTTGGACGATAGAGTTGCCAGGCAAAGAAGGCGAGTGAAGTAGACGTAGCGGTGATCAGGTTTATGAGAAGGCGCCTCCAGAGCATCGTGGCGGGTATTGCGGAAACGAATATGATATCAGAGTTTGAAACTGTCATTTGTTAGGGATCTGCACCAAATGGTCCACAAGTGCGGTGATAAACCACATACTGACTCTACCCTACTTCGCTTTCTTAGTTTTCTTTCGTTACTATTCTCGCAGACCTCTTCTTTCCCGGAATGACGCTTGCAGTTAAGGCCCGTGATCATGTTTTCATGATTGCTAAGAACTGATGCCAGCCCACCTGTCTGTGTCTGTGCCGCCATCAGTTCAGTAGTCTCAGTAGCATGCTGCGAAGAGTAAACTGCATAGAACTGGCTGTTACCAGGATCACCATCTCCTCCTACACCATGTTGCAGACAGCAATCCTAATGTGTTGTGGCTCTTTTGTAGCCATGCTCCCTTCTGCAGCCACCACTTAGAGTGTTGCTTTTCACAATGCCGTTTCTGTGGAGAGTGAACAATGTGAAGGGATATTCCAGCCAGCTTGGTTGGCATACTGGTAGTCGGATTTTCACCTATTCCTCGTATTGGACAGTTTAACATAGTACTTTCCCAGACCGCTTCACAAGCAATAGTACATTTAATGGCCGTCCGTAGTTTTCAACCAACCTTGCCCGCAATCTCTCCAGAACAAAACAGGGCGTGACCCAATACTATACGGGACCTGGCTACATCACGGATGACCTAGGATCAGCGGGTATTGCGGAGAAGAATCACAAGTAACAGCGGCTCCCACCTGATAATACTCCGGTTGGCAGAACCGACGGTATGCCCAAGGACCATCAGCTTTTTCCGTTGGGGGTATCATAGACTTCCTCCCCACGTGTAGTCTGATGCCTGCGGGTCTTCAGAATATACGATCCATGGAAAACCAGAGATAGAATGCTAGGAAATGCAGTTATAAATAGGAAATCGCAGAAGTTCCCTCTTAGTCATGAGGGCGAGGTGGATCTGATTAGAATGCAACAAACCCGTAGAGAACTGCTGCTCCTGGCTCTATGCAACGAACGACTACTGTCCGAATGATTGCTACTTAGAACGGTACAGATATAGCCGACGTAGTGGATAGTCCCATGGTCTGGTTGTCTACTACTTATTCACTGACTGGTTTTCCGACATATTGCCGAGTCGACGGAAGACGCGCTCATGGGCTCCCAATATCGGGGCTCGACACTCGATCAAAAGGGGTAGTAAACAAGGTTTCATATCAGGGCTAGACTTCGCGGTTATTGCGGAACTAAACGGGTAAAGGGGCCGCTTCGCCTCAAGGATGGCCCAATCCCCCAAGCACCCGGTGCGTTTCAATTAGCCATATCTTGGATTTGTGCAAAGACTCATGTTAACGCGCGCTGTTCTGAGTAATAGCAAACGCGCGGTCTGCTCAGTTTGTTCGGACTTGAGGCGGCCATACCTGCCATGAGTCTGTTTGACCCCAAAGTTAAAGAGGTCTTCAGGGCGCAATATGCCACAACTGTAAAACCATCTAAATACTTTTGTTTAATAGACGTGATTAAGTGGCTTAATCAACAGTAGTTGAGTCACAGATCGTGCGTCAGGTGATTCCCCGCATCCCGAAGTGCAAGTACAGCGTTACAAGCACATAGTCAAGAGCGTGTTGTATTCAAGAGTGTGTCGTTCAGACTATTTAAATGCCGCACAGGCTCATATGAAGGCGCTCTTGAAATGGCCTCATAAACTGCTCAATATTGCAAAAGTCCACCGAACTCTTAGTTCACCCCGTACTGCACAACGTCATCAGTCGTTGCTGGCTCGATACGCCCTTGGCATGATGGCGAGGAGAAAATGCACAAACTGCTCCGAGTTCCATACAGGGACAACCCTACAGTTCCCTTCATCAGCCCCCGTGCAGGCCACCCAATAAAGCAATCTCCCTTGCTTGCAATTGGGACGCTTGATCAAGAAGGGAGGCCATGGTCTACTATCTGGGGAGGGACAAAAGGCTTCGCTACTCCAACTTCTGCTTCCACCTTCGATATCAAAACTCCAATCGGGGTGACCTATGATCCTGTAGTTGAGAGTTTGTTGTTGGATTCCACTAACAATAGTGGAAAGTTGGTCTCGTTCTTAGCGGTCGATCTCGAAAATCACCAAAGAGTGAAGCTTCATGGCAGGGTGGCCGCTGGATCGTTGGATACTCTCGATGTAGAGGCTCGGGTCGATGTTGCTCACCTTATCGTCCACATTGACGGTAGTCTCGGTGAGTATAACCCTGTCAATGAAAAGGATACCAAAGCTTACATTCTAGGCAATTGTCCCAAATACCTGAACGCGAAGCACATTCTTCCTGCTCCTCCAGACCCAAAACTCATCTCGAAGAGTCCCCAGCTGCACCTTAAGGCCCTCACTTTGCTACATCGTGCAGATTGTTTTTTCATATCCCCATCGCATGGGAGAGAGGCTATGGGTACAAATATCCGGGGCGGGCCTCCCGGGTTTGTCCGGATCGTCTCCAACGAACCCAGTGGCGGTGTGTTCATATACCCGGAGTACTCGGGGAATCGGCTCTATCAGACCCTGGGCAACCTCCAGATATCTCCTTTGGCAGGTTTCGTCTTCCCGGATTTCGGATCGGGTGATGCATTGTTTATCACAGGGAGAACAGAGATTCTAATAGGAAAGGACGCGTCTTCTGTTCTTCCTCGCTCAAATATTGCCGTCAGAGTGACCATCACCTCGGCTCGTTTCCTAGAGAAGGCGCTTGCCTTTCGAGGGATTCCGGGGAAACCATCCCCTTACAATCCAAGTGTCCGATATCTAATAACGGAGAAAACTTCTTCGGCCGCTCTTGCAGATCGCGAATCGACCGTTACTGCGACACTAATTCGAAAGGAGATTATCACTCCCTCCATTGGTCGATTTCGCTTTCGACTATCAGACAAAGAAAAGGCGGGGCCTTGGAGCGCGGGCCAGTATGCAACATTTAGTTTCCAAAATGAGCTGGATATGGGTTACAGGCACATGAACGATAGTGACCCATCGAGCCTTAACGACGACTTCGTCCGCACATTCACCATCTCATCTTGTCCAGGATACGGCATCCCTGATGGTGAATTTGAGATTACCGCTCGAAGAAACGGCAAAATAACTAACTATCTTTTCCGAGAAAGCACCCGAGTCGGATTGGAGGTTCCACTAAAGGGATTTGGGGGCGACTTTAGTTTCAAGAAACAAAGCGACGATGGTATACTCCCCTTTGTTGCGGGAGGGATCGGGATCACGCCCGTTCTAGCACAACTTCCGACCATTGATATTAGAAAACTTCGTCTCTTATGGTCAATCTCGATTGAGGGCATCGCTTTGGTAGTGGACGCGTTCAGGCGATTTCCCGGGCTGCCCTGCTCAACAACCGTGTTCATCACAGAACTTAGCTCGCAGCATGGACGGGTCCTTGAAGAGCTAGAGGCGATCGACTCATCTGGAGCACTGGTTTATTATCGAAGGATGGGGGCCAACGATATAGATCTAGCGCTGGCAGATACATGGTATTTCTGCGGTAGTCCTTCCCTAAGGGTCCCAGTGCTAGATTGGCTCGCCGGCAAGGACGTGGTGTATGAAGACTTTGATTACTAAAAGCAGATGTTTCTGGAACTCCAAGAACGATAGGAGATATTAATACATTTTTTACGCCGTCAAGACGTGAAGTTGTGCTTTAGTTGGTGGAGAGTCTAATAGTTGGAAAAGTCCAGGTATTAGAACTTGAGCTCAGAACCAAAGGAAGCACAAAGTATCAACGGTCTGATGTAAATAAATAAAGTGCCTACTTCAGCAGAGATATCTATTTGAAAGTCTCTTCTCCTGTTGCGATGTTAAAGCTGCAGATACATATCTTTGGATCCCACAACTATGCTAGATCTGCTACATGAGAAACGAACCAGCCGTGCTGTATCCTCTCCAACGATTTCAGGATCCTCAGGTTTAGCCTTACATGCGCCAGGGTGCAACATATCCAAGGTTTCACCTCCAGGATCCGGTCTCTTCTGCATATCGCAGGTTATCGAACGAGGCACTGCACCAAGCGGGGCACCAGAACCCCGACTTTAGTTCGCTACTCCCATGCGATCCACTCAAGCAGTCGAGGTAGGATTTACTCAGAGTAAATAAATAAAAGTTTCGTTATCTGAGGGATGCTGCCTCTAACATGACTAGTTTGGTGGTGGGGAATTTATGTAATGTGGCAATGCACGCTTCCCAGTTACTGCTCCCCTAAATCCAATCTTCGTGGCATGTTGAGCAAGCCGGCGGCATTTAGCCCTTAGGGGACTCACCTAAAAGAGATTAAGTCGGACGTAGTTGACAGCTCTATTACATGACACCGCCAGTCTTTCCAGTATAAGCCCCTGTCGCAGAGATTTCCGGGGAAAAGTACAGCGGATAGTACATATCCTTTCATATCCAAATGGTATTGTTTGAGCGGAAGTATGTGAGTTGCACTATCCTAGTGTCTAACTATCCGGTGACTGTGATTGTCCAATATAGAACTTTGGGATTGGAATGATTCCGTCAATGTACAATGCTGGGGGGCGGCAGATAATGATAAGGCACAAATTTTATCCAATCATTCTAGCTCCAAGTTGTCGGCACATTGCCTCTTTCTGTAACACGAAGTAGAAATCCAGCCTAATTTCTCCTCTGAATCGTTCAAGAGATGCTGGCAGCAACAGACACACCGCGCCCTACAGTCCGACTACGTCAATCGGGCGTTTTGCCATCTGCTATTGGTGGGGAGTTTATGATCTTGGCGATTTCTCTCCGCAATACCCGCGGAGATGGTGGACAAGGAACTAGAGTTTACTAACGACTATTAAATATCTCAGCGTTCATGTCTGAGACCTTCTGTGGCCAATTCTCCCTCGACCGACTCCCCCACGACCCCTGCTCAGACATCAAAATGGAGAGCAATCTTTCTTTGCGAGGTAGGACATTAGCGGCACAGAAGCCCGTCTTCTTGAATGTTCTGGGTGATATATGGGATCCTTCATCAAACCCTGATGGAGTTGTGAATATTGGGCTCGCCGAGAATGTCAGCCTAACACTATCGATATTGTTAATTTATGTGTTAACCACTCTTTAGACTCTAATGCACCAGGAAATGAAAGAGTTCATGAACTCCAAGGTAATATCCACTCATGCACACGCCATGTGAAGAGATGGGGACGGCTCCTAATCTACCAGGGTTTAGATGCATGTTGATTCCCATGCGTTGACGTACGGGGATGGGTTTTCGGGGTCCCGTAAGCTCAAGGGGGCGCTTTGTCATTTCTTGAATCGCCACTTTCATCCTCGAGTTGCGTTGTCTCACTCTCAGCTCACCATTACTTCTGGTGTGAGCAATGCAGTCGAGTGTTGTGCCTGGGCCCTGTCCGACCACGGGGACTATATCTTGATTGGGCGTCCCTATTTCAATGCTTTCAAGCCTACGTTTGGAATACGTGCTGGGTACGGCAATCTGTTTCCCCCAACCTACAGACCCCTCTGTGTTTCTTCTTACCCCAATCGAACGGAGTCCTACTGAAACTGACCCTCCGTTCTTAGAGTTGGTCTTCTTGAGGTCAAATTTGGAATGACCGACCCATTCAGTCTTGACGCAGTCCGAGAATATGAGAAAACATATGAGGAAGCGCGTAGTAGGGGCATCCGTGTGAAGGCTCTCCTGTTGTGCTCGCCCCATAATCCGCTTGGTTAGTAAATCTCCCGCATAACTGCGACCGTCAATGATTTACAAGATTGTCCGATCAGGTCGTTGCTATTCTGAGGATGTTTTGAGGGAGTACATGAAGTTCTGTAATAAACACAAGCTTCATCTAATATCTGATGAGATCTACGCACTCTCGGTGTGGGAGAATAAAGATCTTCCTGGAGCGCCCATTTTCAAGTCAGTGTTGTCTATGGACATCGACAATATCATGGATCCCAGTATGGTTCATGTAGTATGGGGTTTAAGCAAAGTAAGTGGCCTCTCTTGGGTTCTACATGGTCATAAACTTAGCGCTGGTGAAATCAGGACTTTGGAGCGACGGGTCTACGAATTGGTTGCCTCATTAGCCAGTCAAACATGAGTCTTTTGGAGGCTGCAGATGGAATCAGGTAGAATTGTGTGACTCGCCAATGTTGCCAACTGCTGACTATTCTTCCTTTTAGTCTCTATAACTTTCCGTCAAGCTTAGCAGACAGTATTGCGGCTTCGATTTTACTTGACGATGAGTTCAGCAGCAAGTACATTGCGACGAATCAGCGCCGTTTAGGCGAGAGTTACCGTTTCGTGACCGACTTTCTTACGCTCCATGATATTCCGTATTACAAGTCCAATGCCGCAATTTTTGTTTGGATGAACCTTGCAGCGGTCTTGAGAGATAAGTCGATCAAGGATGCAGACATCCTTAAGGAACTTCAAAGGCAGAAGGTATATATTGCGGCGGGTTATGCCTACGCAAGTGAGGAGGCAGGGTGGTTCCGGATGGTGTTTGCCCATTCCCAGAGTGTTCTTGAAGAAGGACTAAATCGTATGCTTCGGGCTCTACATTGCTTGAATTCATATTAGAAACGCCATCATTTGTTTCCTAACAATGGCTTTTGCGTTTTATGTTAAGCTTCTTCTAGTAAAGGCACAATGTACATAATCGCAACCGGCACTACATTTTCCTACGTCCGTAGGTTGGTGAAAGTTCTAGCAAATCATCTAATGCGCTCAGCACTACTAAGGCCTCATATAACCTCGATAAATCTCCTGCGGGGACAGATTGGAAGACGTTGCGGTTTACCCGGTCTTGGCTCGCTTATATCTTGGAGCCTATGGGGGATGGAAACTCTGGAGATGCAGTGGATAGTGAATGTACTAAATACGAAAAGAGCCATAGCTGGTCAAACAATATAATTGCTTTTTTCGAAGTAGTCACTCTTTGCCGAGCAACAGTTGCTTGTTAGGAATGCAGCTTATAACTGCTCTTTAACATCGAGCTAAGTTGTAGTGGGGTGAGCACATCATCATCACTTATACCCTACAATATGATGGTCACTGCAGCGTGGGTGCCCATTGGGGTGTTACGGTACAGTAGTTGGATTGCTTTATATTAAGAGACTCGTGCAGTGGTGTTTCCTGAAGCAATCGTTAAACTTACCGCTTTGGGTGAAGCGCCTCTACCGTATTTCATGAATTAAGATCCCGGACACTCCAATCCGCCTATTCCACAAGAGTCTTAACACTCACAAGGCTATTACATTACACCTTGCGTTTCTCGCTTGCCTTCAATAGCGTTCTGGAGAGTAGCTTCTTTGTAGATTTTCAATCTCCTTCGGAACTCATATCCAGCTGGAGCCAGAGGAGCCAGAATCCTGCAGGATCCCTCAATGATCTGCCACATCGGGTTGAACCAGCCTATCTGACTGGGTACACGATATGAATATGGCTGACTTGAGCCCCCCGTTGCCGGGGATTTGCGAAAATTCCGAAGAAGCGCTCTTCTCCGATCCAGTCGACTCACCTGTCGAGTGGGACAATATTGTTGTGGATGGTCTTGAGGCCTACCGACAATACGTCACGCCCTTGAACCAGGTCGGCTACGAGACAGATTCTGAACGAGATGCGCTGGTTGATATACAGCCCAAGGGGTTTTTCCTCCGACCACCCCCCTTGCCTCACGAGCTCGATACCCACATGACACCGGACGCACAACTATTCCAGACGATTCACATGGGCGCCGCGGTGGTCGACCCCAACCAATGGCGCCTCATTGTTGACGGAATGGTGCTCCATCCGTTTATGCTCAATCTCCGCCAACTACAGAGCATGCCACGAACGTCCATCACGACATTCCATGAATGCTATGGTAGCCCGCTTCTCCCTCCGACGCGGGCTGTACGGAGGGTTGGAAACGTACGCTGGACTGGGGTACGCTTACGCACATTGCTCCAGATGGCACGGCCCCAGAGGTCTGCGTCATACGTCTGGTCCGAAGGCCTAGATGGTGGGATCTTTGCCGATGTCTGGGCAGATCGGTATCAAAAGGACCTTCCCTTGGAGAAGGCAATTGCTCCTGAGGTGCTACTCGCATTTGAGATAAATGGGGCTCCTTTAGACAAGGAGCGTGGGGGCCCAGTCCGCCTCGTAGTTCCGGGCTGGTACGGCACTAACTCCACCAAGTGGATCAGTCATATCTCTCTCCAAGACAAGCGCGCAACCGGGCCGTACACCACCCTGTTCTACAACGAGATTGATCCGGCCGATCCTGACGGTCAGCAGAGACGGCCGGTGTGGAAGGTGGAACCAAACTCGATCATTGTGCGTCCTCGTCCCGGCGCGACCTTCGCCAGTGGACACACTATAACTGTCATTGGTCGTGCCTGGGCGTGCGAGGAGATAGTACAAGTGGAAATCAGCACCGATGGAGGGAATTCTTGGTGCAACGCCCAGCTTACTCCGCGGAGGGAATTCGAGTGGCAGCTGTTCCAGCAAAGAGTGGTCTTAAGTCGTGGCGGGTTATATACAATCACTGCGCGAGCAACAGATAAATGTGGACAGCAGCAACCCTTAAGTAATCGACGCAACCTTGTCTCTACGGTGAGCATAAGCGTAGCCGAGGGAGACGAGGTATAGGAAATGAAACAACCCTTTACAGGCGGTCTGCTTGACAAACGGCGTCCTCGTTTATGACGCCGTACCTGAGAGGCTATTCCCAAGCCCTTTAGCTAAATTTGCCGATGCTGGCTCCTGTTCTACTCACAAAGGATCATTTGTTGGGGCGATTTCAAACCCCGTGGTCTTCTTACTTAGCTACGTTCGATCTACAAATCGCATCGAACGCATTGTACAAGATCGCTGGACTAACAGAATAAAGTAGGTATCGGAGGTGCTGACACTAGCGGGCGCCACCATCAACGTCATCGGCTTCTTATTGCTTATCTAATTCAATAGAGATGTCCGCAATATCCGCTCTTCCAACCTAAAGTAATTTCCCCTTTAAATCACCTCCACTAGCTCATGGTATCTATCATTCTCTTGAAGCGACCAACTGAGGACCATTTTGGCTCATTGGTCTGTTGATGCCACCTGGCGCTCAAACACTGCTTCTCTTCCAGGTCACATGATAGCTCTCATGGCCCATACGTCTGCACAACTAAAGCGCAAGCGCTCTCGGATCGCCTGTGAGCCATGCCGGGCGCGGAAAAGGAAATGCAATGGAGGGAACCCATGTATCACATGTATGAGCTGGGGTTATGAATGTTTCTATGAGCAGCATTCTGAGCCGAAAACCTCACGCTTTTCCGAGTCTTCACGGCCGACACTGCAGGATGAGCCACGTGCGGAACGCCTGAACCAAGGAAAGGAACCAGCAGAACTCCAAGGTGTTATCCGAAGTATGGAGGCGAATTCTGGGGCGGCATTTATCAGAAGGATGGGCCTCAAAGTTGATCCAGCGAATGCACCTAAACTCAATCTCTTTGGGTGGAACATTGGCCCTCGCCAATTACCATCCGGCTCGGGACCTATCTGTGCCTATCCAATCGTTGATATCCTCTCTCGTACAGCTATGGAGTCACTGGCGACTGTCTACTTTTCTAAGGTACATCCATGCTACGGCTTCATCGATCGTCAACAGTTCTATGAGCGCGTAGACGCCCGGTGGGGTTCGCCCCTCGCCAGAGATCAGTACGATAGTGTCCTCAGCGGTGTCGCGGCACTAGGGTCCCTGTTCTCCGAGCTGAGCCCAACGATCACCGAATTACACCTAGTGGAGGCAGCCCGATCCATTCTCGACGTTAATAGTTTAAGTGGCGCGCCTTCCTTAGACTTTGTGGCAGGCTGGACGCTTCGGGTTGTCTATATGCGGATGACCGCTACACCCCATTCTGCATGGATCGCAAGTTCCACATTGATGCATCTCATCGAGGCAGCCGGTCTTCACTTGGAATCCTCTTTTGAAACAGTCCTTTCCAGCGGCACGCAGTGCGATCAAGATCTTCAAAGACGGCTAGTTGGCGTGGCACAGCATTTGAACATGTGGATCTCCTATGATATAGGTCTTTCTAGGGTGCCACATCAAAGCAGCTTATCACCCCTTCCGTTACCTAGGTCCGATGACTATACTGCCGAAGTTTTGGGTCTTCTTCCGGCAACAGCAAACTTGGACCCAGGGAAAGCACAAGATGGCAAAGACCTTGAATCCTTGCTTCTACAGGTCTTGAGCAGGACTCATACACAACCTCCCTCTGTCCTCGCCCAATGCAACCTTGTGCTTTGTCTCCTTCGACGCCTATGCACATTGAATGTCAACATCTCCACTGTTGCCACTGGGGATATTCTTTCATTACTAAAGAAAGGTCTCCAAGCAGCACGCACTCTAGTTATAAGCTGCTCTCCGTGGCAGCATATAGCTAATGTACCATTCCACACTATTTGTATTCTTCTTCACATGGATACCCAGTCATCGCTGGAAGTTCTCCCTGAGGCCGTGCAGACCCTAAAGCTTGTTGCCTCCACTTACAATACCAATACAGTAAGGGAGGCCTATGATACTGCACTTCTAATCATTTTTCTCTATCAGAGACGAAGAAATGAGGATTCAAATTTTCTGAGGGCTCTTTTAGATAAATGTGAGGAGCTGCCAGAGTCCAGGCTTTCTCCCCACCAAACTGGATCCTCATTCGAAGAGTTAACATGGCTGGAGGGTTTGACTGCCGACATGCCGACTTTGCAAGGGGTTGATCTGAGCCAGCTCTTGCAGAATGATTGGCCCAGAACCAGTCTAGACGCTGGTCTTTCGGAGTCAACATATTTGCCTTGATCATGCTGACCGCGGGCTGTATGTCTCAGCCGACGCCCAGCATCATGCAGTGGCGTTCCCCATGCTGCACGAGCACCGGATAGAACTACAGAGTACTCTCTACGGAGCACATGTTGGCGGCCCCTGTCTTGGTGTCAAGCAGTAGTCTCGAAGACGCTGGTGAAATCGGCTGTTGAGCGCACGGCATGGCAGCTGGGGCTCGTTGCACATGCGTTCGATGCCTGAGGAACAGTCGCTCGCGCAACGACCTGAAGAGGAACTATCAGCTTCAGTAAGCCAGTAGAGGTCTGCGTAACAGAGCTATGACTCTAAGGTTAGGCTGCTTATGCGCAACAAGCTCTAGTTCAGCAGTAGGAGAAGAGGCGGCAATGACTGCAAAAGCACAGATAATCAGAGCAATAATATTCATTCTATAGACGATTTTGATGTTAGGTATCTGGGAGTAGGTTGTGCTTCTGCTGATGGTCTTGGTCAGATAGGAGTCATAGGACTGTGTTACTAACACAGCCGCATTAGCCGCAAGGTGGGTGAGAGGCGAAATCAACCGATTCCTGGCGCCTGAATCCCTATGCGGGACAATCCGCCATTCCATCAAAGCCCCTATCCAGTAACTAGTTAGCTAGTCAATTTATGGGGCAAGCTAACTAATATAAACAATCAGTAATAGAAATATTCCAACTCCGAGCACTAGATTCCGACACCTGCAGCAGCGTCAAATAGACCAGTTCTTCTTGGTTTTGCAAAACGGTGGACGATGGGGGCTATCTTCTCTACCATCCGCCGGATCTGTCTCGACTTGAGCGCCGTCATCTCTGAGCTCAATCAGACTAAACACTCTTTTGACTCGCTCCTTGCTCGGATCTCAAGTGCGACACCTCCCGTGCCAAATCCATCCATATCCTATTGGCAAGAAGATCCACCATTTCCCAACTTAGTTGCCGTCCAGTCTCCCGATTTGCCGACTACGGCCGATATTGTCGTTATTGGCTCCGGTATCTCGGGCGCAAGTGTGGCATATACGATCCTTACTCAGTTTGATAAACGTGGGATCTCCCCGGAAATTGTCGTTTTAGAAGCGCGAGATCTTTGCAGTGGCGCAACTGGAAGAAATGGGGGCCATATGAAGTGCTCGCCGTATGTAGAATATGCAGGGCTCAAGGCGAGATTTGGAGTGGAACATGCGAAGAAATTACTTGGTTTTCAGCGTCGAAATTTGGCCGCTATCTTGGATTTCGTGCGACGGAACCAAGCATTAAAAGCTAGCGAGGCTCGAGAAGTTCAGACAGTGGATGTTTTTACCGACGAAAGGATGTGGGTTAAAGCGAAGAAAATGGTGCAGGAGCTAAGACAAGATGCCCCTGACATGGCTGAAGACATCGTGGTTCATGATGGCACGGAAGCGTGTGAAGTGAGCTTCATATGTTCCTTTCCCTATTTGATACCTTACTAAATCCTATAGGAACTTCACATCGACCCCCAGCACTGCTATGGCATCATAACTTACAAGGCTGGGGCACTTTGGCCATATCGCTTCGTTACGTCTCTCTATGCATCCCTTCTTTCGACCTACAGCGCTACCTTTTCAATCGAGACCAACACTCCTGTAACTGCTATCCAAGTCAATTCAGGTAATGTCAGCAGGCCATTCACTGTTCAGACACCCCGTGGACACATAACTGCGGCCCATGTCGTACATGCCACCGACGCATTTGCAGCGAACCTGCTCCCTGGATTGAAGGGGAAAATATTTCCCGTGCGGGGACATGTGACGGCTCAAAATCCAGGAACTCTATTTCCCAAGCTTGGCGGTGCTAGGTCATGGAGCTTCATCCACAGGCGCGGTTTCGACTATGTCAGTCAGCGTCCAGGAACAGGTGAGCTTATAGCAGGCGGTGGCTTGGTTCAATCACCAGAAAAGGGAATGGATGAGTTCGGTATTTGGCGAGATGACCGAAGCAGCTTCGCTATCCGCGCCTATCTGGACGGTCTCTTGCCCACAATGTTCGGGGTACACAACTGGGGGGCTGATATCGGTGCCAGGGTGAAAATGGCCTGGACTGGCTGTATGGGATTCACGCCGGACCTGCTGCCCTATGTTGGTATTCTGGACCAGAAAATCACCCAGCGAAAAGTCCCAACTGCGCGCTCGAGCAAAGATGCAAAACACCCGGCAGAATGGATTTCCGCAGGCTTTCAAGGAGAGGGCATGGTCCTAGCATGGCTATCTGGAGTCGCCGTTGGATTGATGTTGGTTGGAGAGGATGACGAAGTCTTTGAACAGGCTCCAGGCATACCAGGCGGAAAAATTGGCGAGTGGCTGCCGGAAGAGTTTGCCTGCTCCAAGCAGAGGGTGGACTACTCAAACGTGTCTGATCTTGCAACACTCCTTTAAGATTCTGACTTAATTGATCTTGTTGGACGGCAAGCCCCAGGTTGCAGCGTATTAGAAAGAAGAGAATCCGGAGAAAGATGACGGAAGAAATGAAGCAAGATATCATTGGCCCGAGTTAGCGGAGTCTAGCACCTAAGCGTCTCATAACGATAGAGGCTTTAGCAATGACATGTGGTCAAGATGGAGAAGTGCTCCTTCCCACGGCTTGGGTAGATTGTTTCGGTCTTCGTGGGTTCACCCACTTTTCTGATACTTATATACAAATTCATGCTTTCCAGGTAAACAGCATTCTCACTAAAAAGCTGTGAAAATGGAACATTTCTAATCGTTGGCAACCACCTCATGCATTCATGGCGCCGAGCGGCTCTTTCGTCTCAATAATGGTCCAAAGGCTCGGAAGACGAGAGGAATGGGGATCATAGTTGTAGCCAAGCAGCCGAGTAGAGTGGCTGCCCATTGCACTCCTAATCTTTCGAACATCTGCTTTGAGAACAGCGGAAATCCGGCCGCAACGGCGGATCGGAGTATAATGTTTGCAGCGACGGTTGACGCGGCTCTGGAGAACACGATAGTCAGTTTCCAGCGACATGTTACAGGCGGCGTTAGATCAAGGCTGACAGAGGCAAATAGGAATCGACCAGATAGTTGAAGCAGGGAAGGAAGATGCATAGGACGCCAAATCCGATAAATACCCCTGCAGCAGTTGGGGCCATCCAATGGATGCGAGAAGTGAAGCTCGTCCAACCAAACCTTGGTCGGAAACATGCGTAAGCTTGTGGTCCATTAACTGTTGCGAAAATGCAGACTCACCAGAAAATGCCAACAGCGAACACGGGAGCACCGACAATAGCTGGAGACAGGCGCCATTCAGGAACTGCAACGTTGCCATTCGCAGCAAGCTTCTTCGCATATGACGAATTCTGTGTAATGATAAACCCGCATGCTAAGAGCTGGCCAATAATAAGGGCAATAAATGGAAGGCCACCGACGCCGGGACTCATTCCATAAACGGACTCGAACACGTATGGATAGGCTTCCAGAAGCGCATACACCAGCCCGTAGATGAATGACATATAGAGGGATATTAACAAGACAATTGGTTCTGTAGTAAGGATCTTCAGCGGACGTGTGAAGTATTTGTGGATCAGCTCTTGAACATCAACCTCGACCTCATCCAGCTTTGCATGGATACCCCAGTTGAATGTTTGTCGTCGAATCGCTGCTGCCTTTGCAACTAGCAAAAGTGGTGCATAGGTTTCTTTCAGCAAGAGGATAAATAGACTAACACTCGCAAATCCCATAAAAGCAGAGATGTATAGAGTCCACCTCCAGCCAAGAGAACTTGATGAGATGAAGCCACCAATAAACGGTGCGCTAGAGGGGCCAACGAACACGGTGAGAGAGTAGATGGTAATAGCAGTGCCACGCTGAGAGTTATTATAAACATCCGATAGCACCGCCGGGACCACGGAGAGTTGACTGGCACCGAAGAGCCCAGCAAAAAAGCGACAGATAATCAACGTCTGAATATCTTTGCAGACTGCGGCGGAAATGGTGAAGATGGCAACGCCCAGCATGCCAATAGTCAACGGCCATCGTCGCCCTATTAACTCGGATGTAGGGGCCCAGATCAACGGACCAGATGCGAATCCGAGGATGTATAAGGTCGTGCCAAGTGTGCCAACCTCCGGGCCCACCCCAAACGCTTTGCTTGCATGACTGGCTCCTGGAGCAAAGATCGCGCTCGTGAATGAAGCTGTGAGTGTACCGAGGCAGGCCGTCGCCGAAATACGGAGCCTGGGATAGCACGGGATATTGTCAGAATCCATGTCACCACAGCAAAGCACACGATGGGGCATACTTCAAGAAGAAACTCCAGTTGTATGGGTGCTCCGGATCGTCGGGCCCATCAAACTCAACAACATAGTTATCTGAGTCAATCAACGGCGGAGGAAAGGGCTTCCCAGCCCCGATGGTTAAAGGTCGATTGTCATTCTTAGTGCTTCCATGGCTCGAACCGACGGCCAGTTGATACTGCAGGCTATCGGTGATCCCTTGTGCGGGATTGAAGGGGCCAATGTTGTCCTTCGAGTTGCTCATCTGAGAGAGCTGAGTACTGCTTTCGTAGAGCTTTGATGAATCCATTGTTACAGGACGGTAGGTGCTATGAAGCCGAAGAAAGGATTGATTTGATGATGCAGATAAATCTGGCTAGGGCCCTGGAGCACTTCTCTATTGTGAAAGAAGGGACAAGACTCAGCTACAGAAGGTCAGGAAATGTCAAGAAAGCCCTGGATGGCGTCTGAATCACTCCTTGTTCCCTTTTTTTTTTTTTTTTTTTTTTCCTTCTGG